TGCCCACCCTGCCAGGGAACAATTCCTGCCCAAGATCCCATCCAGCCCTGCCCTCCTTCAGCTTGAAGCCACATTTACAGGAGGCAGCACGAACAAAGCTCATTTGTCACTCAAATCCTGTTTCCCACCAGGATAAACAATCTGTCAATTGACCACTTGAATTTTTGTCTCACAAATCAGTAAGAAGCCTTTTATAGCTTCACAGCCATGCTGCACTACAGGGTATAAAAAAGTTGCCTCTGAATAAAGAGCCAAGAAATTTTTCTTGAAAGATTTTCCTGTGACTGTGTCATTCATCCTCACCATCTTCTACCTGCAGTCTCTAGTATTATTCCTGATATCTTGAATTATCAGGGTGGGAAGAGCCCTCCAGGACCATCCAGTGCCACCTCAGCCCCAGCAGCATCACCCCAAACCCTGTCCCCAAGGGCCACATCCAGACTCCTCTGGACAATTCCAGCGACTCCAAACCTCCCTGGGCAGCTCATCCCAAGGCCTGACCGCTCTTCCAGGGAAATTTTCTTTCTCAGTCTCCACCCTGAGCCTCCCCCGGTGCCATTTGAGGCCATTTCCTCTCATTTTTTCCCTGTCCCTCCTGTCAGGGAGTTGTGCAGAGCAGTGAGGTCCCCCTGAGCCTCCTTTTCTCTGGGCTCCAGTTCTATGAGGAAGCTACAAATAAAATAATAAAGTAACAAAAGTAATAAAATAATAAAAACGTGCAGAGTAACAGATGACTGAGGAGAAAGAAGAAAGATGTGCTAAAATACATAGAATTTATTCCACCACGTGGAATCAACGCTTGTGTGACAAGCATTACAAATCTTCACTGAGGAACAAGAGGAAATATCACTGAGATACAAAAACCAGACCAAAACAGCTCTGAGCTGTTGAATTTGGACACAATTCCTGTGTAATTTCATTATCCTGAGTGCTAATGAAACAAAAATAAGAAAAAAGGGAGCTACAGACTGTCAAAAACCACATTCTTGGAGAACAATTCCATTCAGACCCACACTCCAGCACCAGCAAACAGCAGGAATTATTGTCAGAATCCAAACACTGGCACTTCCCATGAATGACAAGACTAAAAAAAGTTTGCTTTATGATTTGTGTGGCCCTTCTGGGTTTGCAAGTTTTTGTTGTAAAGAAACAGAAGCGAATTTGAGGAGGGCAGAGGGAAGAACACAAAACCAGCAAACACAAACCCACCCTCCCTGCACACACAGACAACTCAAAACCTTGCAGCCCAACAAATTCCTTTGAATTTATTATTGAAAAGACCCCTAAATCCACAGAGTTAAATTACAAATATCTTTAATTGATAGCACAGCTATCACTCTTAAGGTGAAGTTTTACAGATGCATTAAATCCATCCCCCAAAACCAGTAAGGTGCTTCATCAAATACACATTTTCATTGGTACAGATGCATTTACATTGCTATATCTAATTTTTTTTTGCCTTGAAAGATATTTTCATTTCTAGCCAAGAAACAAACTGGGGAAAGCTTTCAAGTACAAAGGTTTTTGCTCATTTCAAATAATATGCATAATATATTAAAAAAAGTAAAAAATATTAGACACAAATTATTTATCAGTGATTTATTCAGGTCTCTCACAGTCTGTTGCTCATTTAATATTTTTCTCAGGTCTTATGTTACTTCTGAGCCAGAGAAAAGAGCAAATTTCCTTTCTGGAATAAATAATTCCAAAGGTATTTGGAATGTTTGGTTTTTGTTCTACTGCCTGTAAGTCAGGGATGATGCTTGTGCTTTGAGAATAAGAGAAAACAAGCAGATCTCCCATTTTGTAGATTTTACACTTTTGGTTCACTTATAAACCAAAAACCTGGACAGTAAGAAAAACTCTGGAGTTTCAGTATAACTACCCCTGATTTTAGCACTGGAAATTTTAAAAACCCCCAGAAGTTGAATCTCAAGTCCTCCAACACCCATGAATATGCATGGAAATATTTCAGAAACAATTGTCTCAAAATGTACCCTGAAATCAGGGTTCATTATAGTGTTAGCTGGGAGTTCAAATTTCCCATCCTCAAAGGAAGATTTATTCAGGATAAAGGAACTCCACATTTTCTTGGCTGACATAATGGAGCTGGAATTTAAAAGCTGACGATGCCACCCCAAAACCAAGACGTGGAAATCTGCTCTGACTGAGCCGATTCTGCTCCAGCTACTGAGTTACTCAAATACACCAAAAATTTTTGGAGCCTGAGGAGTTTTTACTCAAGTTTTCAGATGAGCAAATGTGTGGGTGTAACAATTCCTAATGGGAATAATCACCACTGGGACAAATCTCATTCTTCAAGGAGCAAATCCTCGGTTTGAAACCTACGCTGAAACTCCCGGCAATAAAACACGATCCTGGCGTTTACGTCTGAAAAATTATCCTTGGAGGTGGCTGAAAGAGCAAAAATTTGAGAGTTTAAAGGCAAAGCTGCAGAAAAAATCAGATCTCTATGCTTGGAGCTGCCACTGAACATGTGGGTGCCAGACGACAGAGCAGGGGTTGGGACATTTGAGTCCCCCCCTCCCCACAGGGACACAGAATTTCCCTCTCGATTTGCTCAACTGCTCTGCAGCCCTGCAAGGAAAGGAGAAAAGACAAAGGTGCTGGGCTTTGGTGTCAATACTGGCCTCTAAAAATACAATTAGCATCAAGTTGTGTAGATTTAATTAAGCTTTTAATCAGAATTTTGATTGTTCTTCATTCAAATGCTTTGTTGTTGTAGCAGAATTCTCCCTAAGACCTAAAATTCTTTAAGATGGACGACCATCCATTATTCAGACAGCAGAGCTATTATTTGAATTTAAAAACACAATAATTCCAGTCCTGATCACGTTTTGTTGGCTTTTTTTAATCCACGCAACAAGACCTGGGTTTTAAGGTCCATGAACTGGAAATTAAAAACTTCAAAATGTGAATCGTAAGGAGGAAAAGAAACAAAATTTCCAACCCACCCCTCAGGAACAGCTTCAAATTCCAGAGCAAAAGGCACCAAGCAAGGCTCACAGAGTGGAGAGGAACATCTTAAATTCTTAATAATCACATTTCTGTCAATCAGCAGCATAGCTTTGATGGGATTATTAACAGCATCTCAACAATGATGCAGAAAAACACAGAATTTACACGAAGGAAAAACCTATTTGCTCACAGAATAAAGTTTAGAATTTTATTTGATGCCCAAAATGTAGCAGAAAACAAATCTGTTGAAAGTTCTGAAGTGATAAAAGATGGAAGAGGTATCAAGGAAATCCCACAGAAGAGGGGACAGCTCTGCTGTCAATTAAAGAACTCCCCAAAGCAGCACTTAAAATTGAAAGAATTTTAAAATTACCCAAAAAAACCCCCTCAGCTTTATTTTTTCTTAATGGAGTAGAAAATGCAGAGCAAACCAAATTATTCTTTCTTCCTCATAAGCAAAACAAGCTTGGGGTTCCTAAAATTAATTAGAAAAATCTGAGCAGGTGAGGGGAACCAGCAGTTTTTAAACACAATGGAAACTCCAGTTTGGGGGTGAGGAATCATTCCTGAGCTGCCAAGTCTTAGGAACAGTAAAAGTGTTTTTAATTATTTTTGGATCTGTTAACAGGACCTTGAGCTTGTTTGACCATTCATTGACTCATTCTGGCATTTTTATTACAAGGAAGTCTAAGAAAATCATCCCAAAATCACTTGCTGGCAACACAATTAAAGGTTTCCTCAAATAATTCATATTTTTTGTATCTCCTGGCTCTCTGGGAAAGCAAGGAGACCTATGGAGAACAGGATGGATGGAGAAAAAGAAATGATTTGTGAGAAAGCTAAGCTCTAACACATTCATTATTTAATTTATAAATAAATAATATGTGTTAATATAATAAATAATAAAGTGCTCTGTCCTCTTTAGGAACTGCAGTTGTAACACACAAGTTGCAATTTCTTTTTACAGTCTGGAATTATATCATAATTCCAGAGGGAAAGACATTAAAACAGTGACTAAACACAGCAAAACTACCATTAAAATATGTGAATAAAACAATTAAAATCACGTGAAACCACAGTAAAATTAATAAAGTTTAGGAATAAAATAATTTATTAATAGAATTTAGGAGTAAAATTTTAAAAACTAATTGTGGTATAAACTTTAACTAAAGAATATACAGTTAAAATATCTTTACCTGATGGTCTGCAACCCTGGTATATGCCACTAGATGGCAAGTTTGGATAGAAATTAGCTGAATTTGAATTTATGACACTTTTGAAAAGTCCAAAGGCATTGGATAGAACCAATCATGAAAAAAAATTAATAGTGAAAGAGGAGAACAAAAATAGGAAGAGTTCAATAAATAAGTCTTGTGTCTAGAGCACATTTAATGAAAGTCAGAAAGGTTAAATGGGTTTTATTTATTTCCACACTGCCACACAAACAGAGAATCAACTCACCCACAATTTTGATGTTTTAAAGCAAAACAAGTGAAAAATGACAGTTTTATATATTCTTCACAATTCTTCAGAGTAGTGTCTCATTGAGAGCTGACACTTCAATTACAAATATTCCCAGGAAATATTACAACACCATCAGGAATCAAGGTTTTCCCTGAGCAATCCTAGACCCTTCCCTATTCACTCCACTCTTCACAATTTCCATTTCCTCTTCTGAGGAGAAAAAAAAAAGGAATTCCTCTTGCTATGCAGAATTTTTTATCCTGATTTAAAAGAAAAACAAATCCTGTTTCCCAAAGCAGTTCTAGCTCACTACAGCCTTAACAAGGCATTAAAAAGTTCTTAACAGAAATATAGCAAATACAGAAATACAGTAAAATGAACCCTGCACAAATTCCCTGTGGTGAAATCCAGAACTCAATCTAGCAGGGAACAAAATAGCGACGGATTAAAAATTGAACTTTGTGTTTACCTGGAACGTCTGTTGAAAACTCTGCAAACAAACACTGCAGGGTTGAAGAGAACACTGAATTTCCCTGGCAGGGGAAATCCCAGCTTACCTCGTCTGGAGAGAGCAGATAAATGGGTGTCAACACGGGAATTTCACTCCTTTCACAGCTCAGCCCAAGGCAAGTCAGGATCTCCCTGAGAACTTCATATCTCTTGGAATTGCTCAACTTGAGCAAATTAAAATCCTCTTCAGTTTGCACATCCAGGGAATTGCTGTCCAGCTCCAAATGGGCCTGACAGGACAAGTATATTAAATAAGTAAAATATTTTTAAACAATAAAATAAATAAATAAATAAATTTAAAATAATTTTTAAAAATATTTAATATATATTTTCAACAAAATATATTTAAATATAAATAAATATATTAAAAAATAAAATCAGTTTCCAGTTCAGGGATCAATAGCTGTCAATACACCACGATTTCCTCTGAAGTCTACCCAAAATTTCACTTTTTAGTAAACTTTTTCTGGAGGAGTTGACCAAACTTGTATTTACCAACTTAAATTTAACCTTCTGCTTCACAAGTCATATTGTGGCTTGTACACAAGCAGAATTCAATTACAATTAAAATGACACTAAAATCGAAATTCCATTAAAATCAAAATTCCATTAAAATTATATTAAAATTGAAAGAGCTTTTTAGAAGTTGAACAAGACAGGGAGAACTCAAGCAAGTCACGTGAATTCAGTGGAAATCAGTGCAGATAAAGAAACCCTTCTGTCTAAAAAAGTTCCTTTCTCACCTGGTAGAAAATCACTCCTCACAGCTGAAGCAGATGCTTAAAAGCTGAAATTAAATGCAAGAGGAAAAAAAATCCTTCCCAGACCTCTTTTGTGTTCCAAGATATTTTAAAGCCCTTGTACTCTCTGCAGATTTATTAATTGCTATTAAATAAAGCCCTTATTTTTGTTCATTTCTTCCATTTTACAAAATGTAATGATGTCCTTTGTGGTTTATATATATTTTTATATATTGAAATTCAGGGAAATGAATGAGTGTGGCTGCTTCTGGATCCCTGGCAGTGCCCAAGGCCAGGCTGGACATTGGGGCTGGGAGCACCTGGGACAGTGGGAGGTGTCCCTGCCATGGCTGGGGTGGAATGGGATAATTTTAAGATCTCTTCCAACCCAAACCATTCCATGATTGTATAAAATTCATTAAAAAGGAGGCAGGACACACCCACCCACCAGAGGAGTACAGAAAAAAGGGAAACAAATCTACCAGAATATTTCATGGCTGATGTCACTGCCTGTCCCCTGGAAACAATAAGAGCTTTTCAAATCCAGACTGGAAGTCATTTAGAACTATAAAATGCCACACTAATCCTTTTAATCTGATTTTTGAAGCTGTGCTCTATGCCCTTCTTTTTTTTCCTGGGGAAAACCTCTGGAGTATTAAGTTTTACTACAGCAGGAGGATCAATTTGAAGGGTGCAACAAAGCAGAACTTGCAGGGACAGAATCAAATCCATTTTCTGGCAGCAGCACATGGGTGGCAGAGCTGCCTACAAAAAAAAGCAATAAATATACTACAATGTCAAACAGAGTTCCCAAAAATCCAACAGATTTCAGTTGATAAAAGACAAAAACACTTCTAAGAAACCCAATGAATATTTCTGAGCTCCATAACTGCTGCAAGAGTCTTGACATCTGATCCTTGAGCAGTTAAATTTCAGTGCCCTGGGCTCCTGAGAAAGTTCCCTACGTAAAATATTGGTAAAAATCAAACCTTTCATAAAGTTTGTTCATCTTTTATATTCCTTAACTTCATCTTGGAAATTAAACCTTGCTCTGTTTTTCTCAATGTGTTTGGCAGATTTCTTTTCTAAACTTCATGGTACCTCTTATCAGCCTTTCCATCACTCAAAACTGGGAATATTTAAATCATTTCAATAATCAGTGACCATCATTTACCTTCCCATGGAAGCTTCCTCACCCATTATCCAGAAGGTAAAATTAAGAAAAAAAATATTATGAACACTTGAACTTCTCTGTTTAATTTTTTGAGCGTTTTTTTGGGCTGTTTTGGTGGTTTTTTAACCAGAAATCAAAACATCATAATACTGGAGAGGCCACTGTTTCCTGGGATATTATTTTTAAGTGGAATGAATGATTTTGGCTCATCCTACACTACCCCAATTCCACCCCCCAGATTCTCTATTTGGTAGGAGCAGAATGTTTAACATTTAAAGCTTTAAAGCCTGAATAAGGACTCAGGAAACAAAGTTTCCAGCAAGGTTTATTCTGAACTTCTTGCTTTGCCAAAATTCCTATTTTTGTAAGGATTTTGTGGAGTTTATTTTCCAACTCCCAAGATCTGCTCAAGCTGTACTCCTGTATCACCTCCAGCAGGCAGAAAGGGAAAGCTCTGCTCTGGAATATGACAAAATCCCAGAAAAACTGGGGTTGGAAGGGACCTCTGGAGGTGATCCTCCCCAACCCCCTGCTCAGGCAGGGTCACCTGAAGCAGGTGACACAGGAAAGTGTCCAGGTGGGTTTGGAATGTCTCCAGAAAGGGACACTCCATCACTTCCCTGAGCAGCTGTTCCAGGGCTCTGCCCCTCCATGGAAGGAAATTCCTCCTCATGTGGAGGTGGAACTTGATGGGGTTTAGTTTATGGCCGGTGCTCCTTGTGATATCACTGGGCACCACTGGAAGTTTGGCACCATCCTCTGGCACTCAGATATTGGAGGTATTTCCATGGATTGATGAGTAAAATTCCTGCTTCCTGCACAAAACTGTTCCTTGTTTTACCACCCTCTGTGATCTTGCCTGATCCACACATGCCTGGCTCCATGGTGAAAAGCAGAAATCGTTTCCACAGCAGTGACATTCCCATTCTTTAACACCAAGTGAAACCCACCCTGTACATCCAGGACATCCATTTATACCTGGCAGGGTGGGCAGGGGCTGGGATGGAATTGCCAGAGCAGCTGGGGCTGCCTCTGGATCCCTGGCAGTGCCCAAGGCCAGGCTGGACATTGGGAGCTCCTGGGACAGTGGGAGGTGTCCCTGCCATGGCTGGGGTGACACTGGATGAGCTTTAATTCCCTTTCAACCCAAACCATTCCATGATTCCACACCTCCCCTCAACAGGAATCCCCAAGAACATGCAATGGGAACAACTTTTTAGGACTGCACACCATGCAGCAATGAGGAAATGAATTCTCCCCTGCTCCCTGTACCTGGGAAAGGATGGCTTCTCCTCCACCGCTCCCATGAGGCAGATGCACAATAACCATGTCTTTATCAGCATTATTTAATCGACTCAACACCTTCACTCTGCTGGCATCTCCCTTCATCCCTTCCTCAAAAACACAGCCACTGACCAGGAGGTTCAGCTTCACCTCAGTGCTGTCCTTTTTAGAGACCACCAGCTCATGCACAGCCTTCCTCAGTTTGTTTTTGTGCTTTATCTGCACGCCCCCGAAGGTGAAGGACGAAGAAAACCCAAGAATCTTCCCCCCTTTGGACAGAAATTTCATAAATTGCTTGTGGCTGCCCTCAGGAATGGGCTCCTCTGTGGCAATGACCAGCAGCAGGGAGTTGTCAATCCAGGGATCCCTGAGCACTCGCTCCTGGTGCAGCTGGTAGATGGTGTAGCACTCAGCATCGATGCATTCCCTGAGGACTGACTTCACCTGCTCAAACCTCTCTTTGGCAGCCTCAGAGCCCAGGTAAATCAATATATTAGGGGGTTTCCCAGTGAGGTTTATTCTTTTCATTCCTTTTTCCAGCTGTTCATCCTCCTTCTCCTCCGTTCTGCTGCTGCAATCATCGGGAAGCTCAGGAATGTTTTCCGCAGAGGCGAATTTCACGGATTCAATGGTGCTGTTTTCAAGCTGCAGACACTCGTGGCAGCTGGAAAGGTGCAAGTGGTGATGTTCCCCAACTCCTGTCTCCTCATGCTCCCTTTCTTCTTCCAGCTTGGATTTCTCCTCCTCACCTCGTCCTAATCCTGATTTCCCAGCAGGAGTTACTGCATCCATGTCTGTGCTTTTCTCTTTCACCGACGGTGCCTCCTGTGCCAACTGCTTCAGAGCAGATTCCTCTAAATGGACAGCTGGAAAAGGTAAAGGATACAAAAAAATAAAGGGATTGGAATAACGAGATTGAAAGGGTTATGATAAATATCATTAACAGCAGAACTTAATTTCAGTACAAATGCTCTGTCATAGCAAGAATTTCACATCTTTGACACAACAAATTCTATTTCCCCCCCCAGAACAACAAAGCTTTGCACCTGTAAGATAAATCTAAAGACAAAATGAAGAAAACACCTCTGGAAAAATACTGCTCTTCTCAGGAGGGCAGGGTTTAAAGTCACTTGCTGCTGTTTTGAAATCAACTCTTCTGAAATAAGCTAATAAAGTGATGGTATTGGGTAAGATAGATATTGAACCACATCCCTTGCACTGCTGAAGGCTGCAGATAAAGGCTTGGCACAAGAAAAAGGAGGAAAAAGATATTTGAACTGATTTCAGTCTGCAGAAAGGGAGAGAGACCCACCCACAGCAAGATTTGGGAGCTAAGAATCCAAGGGAAAACAAGAAATTAAGAAGAACTGTTAAAAAATTCCCCTTTCCCCCTGAAAATGATAGAAATCCAAAGATAATTCATAGCAAATACAAGTGAGAAGAGCAAAGATGATTACTGCAAGCATGAAAAGTGCAGAGCAAAGAGGAGAGAAAAAATACTCTTCACAAGGGAGTGCTTCTTCAGCTGCTGAACCAGGAAACTACTTCAAGGCAAAATTTGAACAATTTTACTGAATCCTCCACTCAAACAAAACCAAATAAATTTATTATACTTTTAATTCAGGGAGGAACTAGATTAACAACATTTTGTTGCAACACATCAGATCCAACTTCAACCCCTTTCCTTATGAAACTACATCCCCTTTGGAGCAGAAACATGAAGAAAGATTTAATTTTTTTTAATATCTCAAGGGAATTTTACAGCTTCCAACCTCTGTTCTTCCATCTAGAGCCTCCCCCAGCCCGTGCTGGAGCAGCTTCCAAACAGCACTGGAAGCAAAAAGAGGCAGAAAACATTTTAAAAAGAGAGTGACTAGGACACTCTCAGCTTCCATCCTTCCTTGGGGGAATATTTATGCAGAACAGCACCAAGAGAGACAGAATTTCCCATCAGATTCTTTTGGAAGAATACTCCTGTCCTCCTGCACTTTAGCTAAATGTTGTGGATTTTGTCATTCCTTAATTTTTGCCAGTGCACTGTGATCTATATCAAAAAAAACCAGCAAAGCAAATACAAACCCCATAAAAAAATCCCACCCCAAATTGTTCCAAATCCATGTTCAGCTTCGAATACACTTTAATTTCAAATATGAGAAAAAAAAAGAGAATGTTTGCTTAAGAACTTCCAGTTTGACAGGGTTTTTTTGTGTTTTTTTAATACCTTTGTTAATCTAACAGACAAAACTTGAAGAAAATATTTTCTAACTTCTGGTTTGGAGCACCCTGGGATAGTGGAAGAGGTTCCAGCCCATGGCAGGGGGTGGGAATGGATTATTTTAAGGTTTCTTCCAACCCAAATCATTCCACGATCCTATGAAATTAAAACAGAGCTACAGAGGGATCAACTTCCTGAAATCCCAACAGGAAGAAAACACTGCCAAAATAAATGCAAATTTTGCAGCTAGGTATAAAAACTATGAACAAAATCCTAAAATAACCATAAACAAAATATGTTGTGCTATTAAAAATGATCAGGAGGATACTTACAAACAATCCTGTGTGGCACCATCCCGTTATCCATCTGCAGCCTGTCTTCCAGGAAGGCTATTCCAAGGCTACTGAAATTATCTACACTGGCTTCAGCAATTAATTTAAAAGGTTCACCAGGTTTATAGGCCAAGGGTGAACAAAAGTCTGACCACTTCACAATCTAGAACAGAGCATATGGATGGCTTTCAGTTGGGAAAGGTTATGGAAAAATTCCCAAGTATCAATAATATTGTGAGTTTGTAAGAGGAACTGCAGGAGAATTGAATGCAACCCAAAGAATTTACTGAGGGAGGGTTGCTTTAGGCAGCAAAGATTGAGCCCTGATGGAACAGAACAATAATCACACCAAGTGTTGGGAGAAAACTGGGAGTACAAAGGAATCATTCCCAAAGATCAAAGCCCTGAAAGTTCCAAGCAACAAAATGGCAGCAGAGCGATGTCACATTCTGTAAGAAAAAAAATCTATTTGGATTTGTTTCCTTCAGCACAAACTGCAAGCAAGAATGCTGATAAAAAAGAACAAAAGTAAACCACAGAAGTTTAATAAAAATTACCAGAAGCATTAACTAAATCCTGAGGGTTCAAGATGTTTCTCTACATCAAAAATTCCTTTCTCCAAGAAAGAAACATTGCACAAGGAGGAGACACAACTGGATACACGAATCAGTCGTTCTCCTGTCAAGAAATATTTAGACAATGAAACAGCACCTGCCTTCATGACCTGAAAAAAAAAAAAAATCAGCCTTTCCCATATTCCAAAAACTGGGAGTCAAAGTGCAATTCCCACAGAGCAGCTGCAGCACTTGGAAACCACTTCCAGGAGGTTCAGCTTTTCATCAGCACACACCAGATGTAAAACACTGACTGAAGTAAAGGAAAACTTACTGTGAATGAACAAAGTGAGGGTGAGCTGTCAGTTATTCTACTTGTTCATAATTAGTCCATCAGCTAAATTTACCTTTTTATTTAATTAAATGGTTTATACAACATCCAAGAGAATCCACCTCCAACTTTTGATTTTGTGGTATTTCCCAAGGGAACAAGAAGAAAGGGCAAACAACCCTAATGGTTCTGTCTCCTTTCTAAGCCATTCTCAAAGACAGATTCTGATCAGCACAACCCAAATGAGGCCATTCAGTCACAGAATGGGTTCAAGGAACCTTAAAACTCATCCCATCCCAGCCCAGCCATGGCAGGGACACCTCCCACTGTCCCAGGAGCTCCCAATGTCCAGCCTGGCCTTGGGCACTGCCAGGGATCCAGGGGCAGCCCCAGCTGCTCTGGCAATTCCATCCCAGCCCCTGCCCACCCTGCCAGGGAACAATTCCTGCCCAAGATCCCAAGATCCAGCCCTGCCCTCTGCCACTGGCAGCCATTCCCTGGCTCCTGGCCCTGCAGCCCTTGGCAATTGTCTCTCTCCAGCTTTCCTGGGGCTCCTTCAGGCCCTGCAAGGCCACCCTGAGCTCAGCCCAAAGCTTCTCCTGGCCAGGCTGAACAATGGCAACTGGGCCAGCCTTTCCTGCCAGCAGAGCTGCTCCATCCCTCTGCTCATCCTGGAGCCTCCTCTGGGCTCTCTCCAGCAGCTCCCTGTGCTGGGCCCCAGGGCAGGGGGTGGTCTCTCTGCAGGTGGGGTTTCAATCCATATTTATATTTATGGCCTTTGGACATCTAACAAGAAACCTGGCTGGGATCTTCTGATCTGTGACTTCTGCTAACCCTTAGTGAAAAAATTCCCTTTCAAAAAGGAAAAGGGGATCAGTGCATGGAGCTTTGGCACTTTGAAACTCCATCTCTGTGGCACCAAAGCACATCCCACGTTCAATGTGACTGCCAGAATATTTCAATATTCTTTCTCATCCAAAGAAAAGGCACCAGCAGGTGTGTGTTGGTGGGCCACTCCTGGAAACTGTGAGGAAGATCTGTTGATGCTCTTGATCTTTCTTTCATGGCACCAAGTAAAATCTCAGATGCAAAATGTAGTTATTGCTGCATAGTGCAAATAAAGTGAGACCACAGAAGTAGCTCACAAAGTAAAGCTCTTGCCAAAACCTATGACCCTAAAATCCTGCTCAAGCAACAATCCACTGGCTTCAGAGCAGAGTAAAAACCTTCAGGGAATATTTTCCAGCTTTCCTGCTACAATTTGAAATCAAAATTCTGTCAGAATAAAGGATGAAAGGCCAGCTCTTAGCAAGAGACGAGACATTATTCACACTCCTGTTTTCTGAGTCCCCTCATTTTCACCAGTCACAGATCACTGACAGTCATACAAAAAATGGCTTTTCAGGCCAGAAGTTCCCCAAGAGCAATGTGTTCCCACAGCTTCTGGCTGTGGTGACAACCAGAAGTACCAAAATTAAGAGCATTTACTGGGTTCACACAGAAGAACAAAACCAAAATAAATCGGCAGTCCTTTTCCTCTTTAGGTTTGATTTTTTGCCTGGACTATCACTTTTGAGCTTTCTAAATCAAATTCATTATTAATGTCCACATGAGAATGCAAAATTTTCCATCCTGAAGAAAACAAAAGCAAACCCAAGAAGATTGAAAAAAAAACAATTAACCCCAGAAGAACAGATAATTAGAGCTTCAATGCAGATATTATTGTGGATCTTTCTGCTAGAAGAAGTAAAAATGAAATAAAAATCTTCCATCTGAGCTGGCCCAGCACTGCCCAGGTGCACTCTGAGAAAGAGGGAGGGCAAAGCTCGTTTATCTCCAGAAGCAGAGCCCACCTGGATGGATTCACCTATCAAAGGCAATAAAATCATTCCCAAACCAGCTAATGCAGGTTTTGTCCAAGGAAATGTGTGCCCAGTGGGATCAGGACCAGAGGATTTGAGCAGAAAAGGGCCCACCAAGCTCTGGGTGCCTTGGAGCTCCATGAAGCCAAGGATTTCCCCTGAAGCAGCACTTCTGGATATTAGTCCTGACTAAGAGGCTCCAAATCCATGTTGTGTCCTGGAACTGGCAGTGGGTGAAGGCACTCAAAGTCTGATTGTAGCCCCAAACCCAGAGCTGAGCCCATTCCCAACCTGCCCTCAGATAAATCTGTTTCCCAACCCCTCTGCTCCCCATGTTCACTCCAGCAGGGATCATCTCCTGGAAAAAGTGACCTGGAAGACATGGGATCCTCATGCAGGGAAGCAGACAGGCCATGAGCACCTGGGGATGGGATCTCCTGGAACTCCAAGGAGGAGTCTGAAACCCGATTCCAGGAAACAAGGGTGACAGATGGCCCTTTAGGGACACTCAGGACAGTGTCCATGGCCCCAGGGGTGATCCCAGCCTGGGGCAGAGCAGCCTGATTCATGGAAGAGCTCTGGAATCCCAGCAGGCAGCCCAGATGTTTTATTACAGACTTCACAGACACACCCTGACACTCACATCTGCCCTTTTCTCCCTTCCCTGGAGGCAGTGAGATCCATCTCTCCTCTCTCACAGCCTTCCAGTGCCTGAAGGGGGCTTAAAAAAAAGCAGGAGAAGGATTTTCCACAAAGGCCACTGTCCCAGGAGCTCCCAATGTCCAGCCTGGCCTTGGGCACTGCCAGGGATCCAGGGGCAGCCCCAGCTGCTCTGGCAATTCCATCCCAGCCCCTGCCCACCCTGCCAGGGAACAATTCCTGCCCAAGATCCCAAGATCCAGCCCTGCCCTCTGCCACTGGCAGCCATTCCCTGGCTCCTGTCACTCCAGCCCTTGTCCAGAGTTGCTCTCCTGGAGCCCCTTTAGGCCCTGGAAGGGGCTCTAAGCTCTCCTAGGACCTTTCCATTCTCCAGGCTGAACAATCCCAACTTCTCCCAGTCTGGCTCCAGAGCAGGGGGGCAAATCCCACCCACAGCCAAGGAAAAACGCTACTGAAAAGTCTCAACAAAATGCCTCTGGGTCTGTTCAAAACACACAAAAAAGGGCTTAATTATGAACAGTGATGTGAATAAAGCAATTCCCTTTTTACTCCCAATAACATCACAACCCATCTGTAACCCCTTCTGAGCAAGAAACAAAGAGAGATTCTCACCTCCTCTGAAGAGTCAGGTCCTTTCTGCAAGTTCTCTGTCTGAGCAGAAATGCTTTCTGTCACAAAAGCGATGTGTTCTGCTGGCAGCAACTTCTCAGGATGAATAAAGGGAGAAACGAGAAGCACACTCCACCTGTTCAAGTCATCGAGGAACTGAAAGAAATGGGAAAGGAAAGTAAGCCTGAAGAGGAAGCAGCTAATTTAAGAATTCCTTTTTAAATTATGCCCAGCTTAAATTCAAATCTGACCCTCCAGCCTTACAAGGAAGGGTGATGATTATTCACATTCCACATGAGACAAAAAAAGGGACACAGTTCTGAGCCATTACAAAGGAACACTAAAAGTAAAACTGAAAGTGGAAAACCACGTTTTTAAGCCAACTCAAACCCCAGCTTTCAGCTTTACAGGAAGAGAACACAAAACCCCTGAGCTGCTGGCACTGTGACTCTTGTGGGACATTTGCCACTGGCAGCATCCCTCATTCACCTGATCCTCCTCTCCCACCCACACTGAATATTGAATCCTCAGGCATCTGCATCAAAATTCCTCATCCACTAAAAAATTCATACAATATAAAGAAATAATTAATTCAGAATCAATTTTTCCATAAGTTGTTCTACCCACCACTCAGCAGAGCACTGGACAAAAGTTTTCCTCATTAAATTACAAGAGATTCTCTCTCTTGCCATCACCAAGGAACAAATAAAGCTCAAAAACTGCAATCAGCAAACCATCAAACACGTTTGAGACACCTCACAGCTTCTGAGTAAAACATTACATCAATTTTTAATTTTTCTGTAGATTTTGCATTGAACTTCATTTGTCTAACACACTGAAAAAACGGCAAACATTAGAAATAACTTTTGCTTCTGCCATACTACGAGCACACACCTTCAGTAATTCCATGTAGAAGCAGGGGAGAATTTGAATTCCCCTGTGGCACTAAATTCTAACACTAAATGTGTTGATCACTGCACACCTTAAATGAAACCACAGAATGCTGAGGCTCTGGGGGACAGTTCACTGATCCAACCACCCTTGGTGAGCACAGAAGCTGCACAAACAAATGCTGATTTCTCCCACAGAAAAGTGAACTGAGCTCAGGAAGCTTTAAAGCACCTTAAACATCCGATTTGGCTAAAGATCAAACAACAAAAAAAAAAGCCTTTACAGGTTATGATTTATGACTTGCTAGTGTCTTAAGCAAGCTACTGACCACAGTCCAAGCTACTGAGAGAGCAAAGGAGCTCTGCTGGCTGCCTAGAAGCTAAAAAAAATAATCATAATTAACATTTTATCTCTTCACAGGTGAAGTTAAGAGCTCCCCAGCAATGCAGAGCCAGAGCCCTCACACGGAGGTGCAGCACAACAGGACCTGCCCCAGGGATCCTCAAACGCTGTCACCACGTATTTTAAAGAGACAAAAACATATTGACTAACAGCCCTGAGTCTATGCCAGACTTCATGTCAAGCTGCAGTTCCCTAGAGGGCTTCCCAGCTCCCAGTAAACCAAGCAGATTATAAAATCAGTCTGCATGAATACCACTGCAGACAGAAAAAAATGTGCTGGCTGTGCAAGGACTGAGGAGAAGCTGCTTTAGAAACGAGCAGGAGTGGAGCACAGAGCAGAAATCAGCTGAAATCCTCTTCACAGAACAATAATCCAGAGGCAGAACTCCTCTAAACACAGCTTTGTTTTGGTTTTGAGAGCTTTATTGGAATGTGAATTAAGCATTTAACTTGGCTGTGAAAGATTCTGAGATTGCCACCATCGCTCTTGAGTGTGAAATAATCTGTTCATTAAATAGCAAAAAAAAAAAAATAGTTTTAAATAGAACCAACTCCATAAGCATTTCTAATCTTGCTTTCCCTCACTGCAAATGTTCTCTTTACCCACTGAACTTATGAAAAGCTTCTCTGCTTCCTGAAGAGCACTTAGCCACTGACACGCTCCATAAATCCCTTCCCAGCCATGCCTGGAACAACTGAAATAATTCCCAACCACACACACATCAACATCAGCAAAAAGCAGAGATCAAGAAAAGCCTTACCCAGACCAATTCTGACATTTAGTGACAAATTTAGAGAAATCCAACATTCATTTAAGTGAGTCAGACTAGCTGGGGGCAGTGCCAGGGGAGTTCCACTCCTAATCCTGAAAGTCAAGCAAGCTCACTTTCAGTTCTGCTTCCAGCAGTGCCAAGTGGAACTGGTTCAGGCACAGGATTTTTCCACTGTCATAGTCCCAGTTCACATTCCAGGGCAGATCCAGCAACATTTTAAACTCCTGACACCAATCTTGAATGCAAAAACACGGCGCATATTTTTAGACTGAAGCCTTATGTGTGCTCTGAGTATGTTGATGAAATGGAAAGAGGCTTTTCCCAGGGACGTGGAGTGGCAGAACAAGGGGGAATGTTCTTAAACTGAAAGTGAGCAGGTTTAGATGGGATATTAGGAAGAAAAGCTTCCCTGTGAGGGTGGGGAGGCCCTGGCACAGGGAACCCAGACAAGCTGTGGCTGCTGGAAGTGGCCAAGGCCAGGCTGGACATGGCAGGGGGCTGGAACAGGATCATCTTTAAGGTCCCTTCCAACCCAAACCTTTCTGCGATTCTATGAAATTCTACCAAGCTCTCCCAGCCAAGCTTTCCTATAATCATCGTCTTTGCAAAGCTGCACTTAATACATATACAAGCATATATATACATATGAATTTGCAGCACCCAGAGCATCCCTCAGCCCATTTCCTATCCCAACAAGCTCCAGCAAGCAGCGAGGACAGGGAACCACACCCGAACTAAAATTTCCCACTAAAGCGACCGCTCGGATGTCGCCTCCTCCTCCCCCCTGGCTGTGACAGCGCCTGGGAATTCCCTCTGCGCGTTCTTTTTCCCAATCCCAAATCCCTGCCCGCCACCAATCCCCAAAATCAAACCCCATCCCCGTTGCTCCGCGGGGCCGGGATGCGCATCCCCCGTTCCCGCGGCAACAGCCGCATCCCCGCGGTTCTACCTGCGCCTCGCCGGTGTAGAACACCTTTCCGCCGATGCGGAGGCAGACGAGCTCCTCGGGCTGCGGCTGCCGGGCGCAGAAGGTGAAGGAGCAGCGGGAGCGGTGCAGTCTCCTCACGGTGCTGCGGACGAGCGCGGCCGAGCGCGGCCCCCAGCGCGCCCACAGGTACAGGTAGCACAGCGTGATCAGCATGGCGGGCGCGCGGCCCCGCCCACCCTGCCCGCCCCGACCAATCGCAGCTCCGCTCGTCAGTGAGGGCGGGCGCGTTCTCAGCGCTGATTGGCTGGCGGGGCCCGGCGCGCGAGGCGCCCCGCCCCCTTTGCACCGTCGCCTTCTCCCCCCGCCTCCCGTTAGTGTGAGGGGAAGGCGGCGGGCTCGGGACGCGGCGCTTTGGCCAATGCGCAGTTCTGCGGTGTAAGAAGGAATAAAGAGCGCTCAAAATCGTTAATAGTAGTTCGGGGCGTTGTCTCTTAGCAGCGAGTTAGTTGTAGACGTGCTCTGGAGGAGGAAGAAGAGGAGGAGCAGGCGCAGTCTCCTCGTCCCCGGCGCCACGACTCGGCTTTTCTGGGAATCGCAGAATGGTTTTGGTTAAACGGGACTTAAAGATCACCCAGCTCCACCCCCTGCCATGGGCAGGACACCTTCTACTATTCCAGGGTGTTCCAAGACCCAATGTCCAGCCTGGCTTTGGGCACTGCCAGGGATCCAGGGGCAGCCCCAGCTGCTCTGGGAAACATTTTCCAGTGCCTCAGCACCCTCACTTAAAGAATTTCTCCTTAATATCCCATCTAACCCTACTTTCTCTCAGTTTGAAGCCATTCCCTGGCTCCTGGCCTTGCAGCCCTTGGCAATTGTCTCTCTCCAGCTTTCCTGGGGCTCCTTCAGGCCCTGCAAGGCCACCCTGAGCTCAGCCCAAAGCTTCTCCTGGCCAGGCTGAACAATGGCAGCTGGGCCAGCCTTTCCTGCCAGCAGAGCTGCTCCATCCCTCTGCTCATCCTGGAGCCTCCTCTGGGCTCTCTCCAGCAGCTCCAGCTGCTCCCTGGGCTGGGCCCCAGGGCTGGGGTTGGCCTCTCTTTAGGTGAGGTCTCACCTGAGCAGGGTACAGGGACAGAATTCACCCGTCCTGCTGCTCCCACCAGCTGTGATGGAGCCCAGGATAAATTTTCTGCTTCTCCAAATCTCAAACTATCCTGATGGACAACAGGGAAGGATCTCATCTTCCTCAGGAATAACTTCACATTGCCACCTTACCTTTTTCCAGGATTGATGGGGTCCTAAAGGCAGAGCATTCCCTTTTGTATCCCACACAGAACCAGGAGAAGACACCTGTCCCCAGATCCCATTCCTGAAGCCACAAATGGGTGCATTTAATTTCATCTGGGTGTTGTATTCATCAAATGAGAAAGGGCTGAACGCTGACTGGACCAGAGTGAAGAACAGCCTGGCAGGGAATACAACTGTAGGATTTGCATGTGCCGTGTGTGCTGCAAAGACAACTTGCTCCTTCAGAACTCACACCAGACAGCAAGTTACCCTTTACTCCTCCAATATATCTATGCACAAATGTTATCAAATACTGTCTGAATTTTATAGGGCAAGTAATAACAACAGAGCTCTGGGAAATAAAGGTGTGCATCAGTCTGATCCTAGCCAGATAATCAGTGTGTGAGTGAAAAGAGGACATAGAACAAAGATGCAAAATGCAAGGCTACAAGAAAGAAGCCAACACCTACATTGACAGACACCTGACAGTTGTTTCCTGAACAGGGCAGGAAGACACAACCTTTTTTTATTTTTCTGAACTCAAGGTCTTGTCCTGCACTTGGGAATTTAGTGCAATAGGTATCCTAAAATAACAGTTTTATCCCTAAGTGGATGTCTAGCAATAGCATGCTGCCTCTGCAGATAAACAAGGAACAAATTGGATCTGCTCTCACATTTCAAGTGAAAGGAGGGGAGGAAATGGTTTTAAGTTGTGCCAGGGGATGTTCAGGAAAAGTTTTTTTTTCTGTGGAAGAGTGGTCAGGCCTTGGGATGAGCTGCCCAGGGAGGTTTGGAGTCGCTGTCCTTGGGATTGTTCAGGAGGAGTCTGGATGTGGCCCTTGGGGAGAGGGTTTGGGGTGGTGCTGGTTGGGCTGGATGATTGATCCTAAAGGGCTCTTCCAGCCCTGAGGATTCTGTGATTGTCCAACCTTGAACATCTCCAGGAATGGGATAATATTTCCACAACTCATGGCACAAACAGATTACAGTTTCAGTTGTAAGGCCAAATATTTTAAGTAATTCTTCATCTCAGGCTTCAGAAACACCAATCTTGTGCTGCTGCCATATCCTGCCCTCCACAGAGAGGAGCAAATCTGCAGTGCTCCTCACCTGGCACCTCACACTGCTCTCTGTGTGACTTCACCTTGTGCAGGAAGTCCAAACACTTAATCGGACACATCAAAAGAAAGAAAACAATCTCCAAAGCAAGCTCTCAACTCTGGAATTCACTTTCCTCTGGGTTAGTTCAACAGCACATGCACTGCTGACCCCGGGGTCTGCACAAAGCTGAGCTGTTTTTGTAACCTTTCCACGGACAGGAACGTGCTTGGCTTCAAATCCTGCACTGCCATCGAATGCACAAGCTCCACAATGAGCATTTTTTTTATTTTTGAGGTTCCCCTACCCTGGAAAAGTTTATGAGGAAATGAGGAAACTGAATCAAAGCCTCACTATGCAAGGGAATTTAAAGCAGAACAGGCAAAACCAGTCCCTGTTTCAACACAAGCTCCCACGTATGTTGGCATAAAATTAATTTAGAGCTGTAAAGTTGCTGGAGGTTCTTCACTTTCTGTTATAGTGGAACTTGGACTTAATCATGACAAGCTTTGACTAAAAAGTTCAGAATTTTAGATTGGGAAAACATTCTGTTGTTATAATTTTTATTATTAAACCGAAGCCTTGCACACACCAGGGAATTTACTAAAACAGGTTTTCTAAACTAAAATAACCATATCAGTCAGCTCCTCTTTACAGGAGGGTGGAAGGAAGCCTTGGGAGAAACAGGGAGTAATATCAGCTCTCAAACCTCCCAGCTCTGTGTAACCTTGGAGTAGCTGAGCTTCTGTTTTTGACTTTAAGGGAATATTTTGAGACTGGCCTTGCTGTGCTTTGTGACCAGCTGGTTCCTTCTCCTTCTGCTCCTTAGAAGCTTTTCCAAGGATTTGTCTGGGAGGAGCTGTGTCTGCTATCAGTGTCTGTGGTTTTTGGTTTACTGTCAGATATTATTCAAAACTATAAATGCTGTAGAGGTGTCCAAGTTCCCCAAATATACCAATTTATATTCTTGCAAATGCACTATTGCCTATATGACAAAAACTGCATAAAAGCCATTTCTCACAAAGATAAAAAACCTCTTTTAATTAACACAAAATGATTAGCACAGGGGTCAATTTTCTGTAGAAGTTGAATCTGTCAAAGTTTTCCCCAGGTAATGTCAGAGATCTGAACAATTCCCCTGACGTCTTGGAAAACTTTTCTGATTCTGTGCTCTTCACCAAATATCAAAAATTAAACACCTTACATTAAAATCAAGTGTACTGCAAAAAGGAACCTCACTTTAGTTAATGATTTCCATAAAAATGCCAATTAAAGTTCTGTGGTTTGATTGATTTGTACTATAATGTAATATTCACATTTTTTTCTCCATGTACCTATATTTAATTACGTTGCAGCTTCATCACCGAAGTTGTAATTACAATAAATTTGTAATAAATTCGGTCTTGCAGGGCTTTATCAAGAGATTTAATTGATAATAACTTTGCATCTTCTGGAGTGTTACATTTCAGCAGTTCAGGCTCTAGTCCTGCACTAACAGCCATGTTGGCAGAGGAATAAATCAATTATCCTCACATCCAGATCTGATTGCAAGATCACAGGTATCAATTCTTCAACACAAACTTCCCTTTCAACTTCAAGTAAAATCAAGACTAAATAAAACCCAGCTGCTGAAATTAAATATGTGGAGGTCAGACTGTAATTTAGCAAGATATTTAATTACACTTTAAGGTCACTTAAGAAGTTTGCCATTTTTCCTCAGGACCTGTGCTGTTATTTAACAAATATTTTAGATTTTTCATATTGTTCACCATGTTCTTTGTTCTATTAATTTTACTGGTTTTGGTACAGAAATGTTCACAGGGATTGAGATTCTGCAAATATTTTTTATTTAGAACGGGGCACTGTTTATTTATTTACAACTTCACAGGTATCACAAGGTATTTAAACATGGGAGGGAGTAGATTTAGTCTGAAGGTGCCCAATTCACACTAAATAATCTGGTCAGTAAATAAAATTATTTTTCCTTTTCTGGGAAAAAAGTTCACATTAAAATTTAGATTTTTTTTTTTTAGGATGTGGATGAATTTTCCCAAAACATGCAAAAAATGCATTTCCAGAGTGTATCTAAGAAAGAGCAAATTTTGATTCTACAATAATCCTGAGAATTCTGTAAATTCACATTCAGTAAGACAGCACCAGAAAGATAAATTGGATAAATGGGTGTTGTATCCCATGGGATTTTCTAACCAAAAATTAAGAAAACCCCTCTGTTTCCCTGGAATTGCTGTCCCTGGAACAGCCTCCAAGGTGAGAGCCTGTCCTACCTTTGAACTGCTTGGAAAATCCTCTCCTTAAGGACATTTCCCTGCTTTTACCCTGTTTGTTTTAGGTGAGATCCTTGGGAAGTTCACCCAGAGGAGGGGCTCAGAGCACCCAAATCCATGGAGGGAGCAGCCAGGAGCTGCTCCTGGGATTCCCAGCAGCTCCCGCCGCGGCCAGGGCAGCACCTGGGCAGGTAAGGCAGGAACAGGGAGGCTTTTCCACCTTGGGAATCTCCAACTGTGAGTATGGGATTATTCCATTGACTAGAAACCTGAAAACATTTGTCAACTTCAGGAGTAAAGGGAAAAATATATTTCTGAAAGTGTTCCTCGTTATTTTGTTTTGCTGAAACTTCCTCCTTTGAAGTCAGTACTTCAGAACTAAAATTAAGGTTGTGATAACCTTATTATTATCATTTTTATGTTTATTTGAAGGCACTTTTCCATTTCTCCTGCTGGATCTGTTGCAGAGCAACAAAGATGGAAAATCCTGGTGGAAAGAGCATCCAGAGTTGTGGTGACCCCACCAAAAAAAGGCAGCCACGGCACCCAGCACTCCATCTGCTCCCTTGGGCTAATGGGATCAGATTGTCCCCCTTGGATTGATGCTGGAGCTGCTGCCTCAAAAAAATCACCAGGCACACAGGGGATCTGTCAGAGAGGCAGGGAGAGATAGTTTGGGGGTTTTCTGCAGAAATAAAAAGATTTCAGTGTTATTTAAACCATCTCAAGTTCTCTCAGAGCTGTGAGATCCCAAAGGGAAAAGAGCCCTTGGTGAAAAATGGGCCAGAAGGTGGCTGGGGTGGGGAGAAACCAAATACTGCCAGAAAAATCCGATTTACTAAATGAAAATGCTCTCAGGGATGCACGGGGTGGGATTTTGGGAGGTCTGTGCAGGGCCAGGAGTTGGATTCCATGATCCTGCTGGTCCCTCCCAGCTCAGGATATTCCATGATTCCATTGTATCCTGATTTTCCAGCAGCTCTGCCCTGTGGAGGCCCTGGATGCTCCCAGCAAGGGATGGGGAGGCCATGGAGAACCAACAAATGGTGAGAGCAAATTCCAGGAGAAATAATCCTTGTGGAAAAGCAGGAATTGAACATGGGAAGCCAGGCTTGGTCAGTTCCTCATTTGTTCTTTCAAGCATTTCTTTAGAGTTGGAAAACTTGATTTAAATTAGTGCTCTGTGCATGGTGAGGGTTGAAAGTATCTCTAGTTTTTTGTTAGATATAGAATTATTATAAGGTCTTCTTAATATATCATTAATATATTTAATTTAGTAATAATAATGTAATAATAATTTATATCACTAATGTAATATCAAGAGCTACAGAAACAACTGCTGACTCCACAAAACCCTCATTTTATCAGCACTTTATATTTGCTTAATTATATATATATATATATATATAAAAGTATAACCTCAGTTTGAAATCTCCAGGCATAGTCTGGATGTGATATTTTGTATACAAGGCAGAGTTTAAGTGAAAATGACTTTTAAAAACATGTTTTCATGTGCATAATTTTATTTCTTGGGTTTTTTGGAGGGATGTTGCTATAAGTAAACCACTGAGGAAATCAACAGAAAACTGAATTTTAAAGTAACTCTTCCTGGCTTTGACATGTAATTTTTAGTTTTACTTGCTTGGGTGGGAAGGCTGAAAGAACAAAAGCAGAGATTGAGGCACGATCAACAAAGGTCCTGAGGTTTTATTTTTATGAGATAACAGACCCACAGTGATGATGTCAAGAATTCCACTTAGAGGAAAAAGCAAACAAAGCAAGATCAGTGTGGGATTCTCCAGCTACCTAAAGAAAATAAGTGAAATCTTCATTTTGAGTCCACTCTAATTAATAAATGTGTCTCTTTCCAGCCAGAATTGGATGGTCAAGTGATAAATTGTGCATCAAAAGGAGCTCTGGGGTTCCAGCATCCAGTGAGGTGAGTTCAGTCCTGTCACCTGAGACAGGAAAAGTGACAAAAACAAAAAAAAAAGGTGAAACTCCTTCCTTCTCATGAGAAGGATCAGTTTGTCCCTGGAAAAATCTCATTTTAGTAACAATTTAATTACTCACCAAACTGCACAGATTTTTATCCCTCAGCAAAGATGCCCAGGCTGAACAGAGCCTGAAAAAGATGAAAATAAGAAAAAGTAATTTAAAAAACTCAAATTTTCACCTCAACTAATTTATATATTTACATTTATTGCTCCCTAAGCCCAAATAATTAATGGGAACAGCTGCTAATGGAGTGGGATTGGTACAGATTTGAGGTTTCTTTAATTTGCTCTTGAGTAAAAGCTGAACTCCAGGTAAAGCTTTTGAAGGTTGGAGGGCTGATAAAGGTTTTCACCAATGTTTGCAGTCTTTAATTAGGGAGCTGCTAATTGGGATTTTCCTTTAGAGGAGGAAAATCCATGGAGTATCCCTGTTCTTTACAAGCATTTGTTATAAAAGCTGTGGCATCTGAAATTCTGTGTGACCTTAATTAAAGTCAGATTTCACTGGGAATTGGCCAAAGAGAAACCGAGATTTTAATAGAAAACATGATTTTAATACAAAACAATGTGGATTTTGAAATAAATAAATCAGTCTACACCTTCACCTGGAGACACAAAATCCACCAAAATCAACCTCTGTACCTCAGGCCACCAACCCCAACCTAATCCTGATATCCTGATCCTAATTCTAGAATTAATTAATTTAAAAATAAGTTATTAAAACTTCAAGCTAGATTGGATGGCCAAGTGTTGCACTGTTGAACTTTTAAAATGTGTTTTCTTCTTCTCAGGCTTTATTTGCCCAAATCCAAATCCCAGAAGTTTATTGCTAACATTGGAGAGAAGGTCCTGGCCAGTTTTCCTGTACAAGCCACAATTCACTTCTACAACGATGATGCTGAGGAAGAGGAGGAAGAAGTGAGCCCTGAGAGACTCAGAATCCACATTAAAAAATGAAGAATTTAAAGAAGAACTGTCAGGAATGTATGGACAAACATCTGACCAAACAGAAATACAGCAGAGCTCAAAAAGAAACTATTTATAATTTTCTCTCCAAGGAAAATGAGTCTAAGCACTGGAAAATGGGAGGAAATCCTTTTGTGTTTTGAGAGACTTTCAAATAAAACCCTGAAGCTGAACAAAAGATTTAAATCAGGTTGCTTTCAGGAACACAGATAGAAAACATGGAGAACATTGTACTGAGTCATTATTTTAAACACTGAAGCCCTGAGAAAGTGAAAATTGCATTGATTATGAGGCTGAGTAATGTAAAGTACAGCCCCAAAATAACCCAAAGGCTTGGAAACACACTGAAATTAGGCAAGGAATTATTTCAAATGCAGAGATTGTTGCTCCATGGGATTGATTTATTCTGCTAAAAATGCTGAATGCCCAACTGGCCCCATCCACTCCCAGTACAACTCACAAGTTCTAAACAACATTTGTGATATTTTCTGGGGTTCTGCCATTCTCTTGTTATCAGATTTGCCCCTCTGTAAACTTTTGCCAGTCAGAAAAATAACGTCAGTCTCGATTAAAAACCACAATTTAATTTAATGCCACATTAAAACTTGCATTATGTGGCACCTGTTTGCCTTCCCCACAATGTTTTTTATGCTCAGAGAGTTCCTCAACACTTTCCTTGCTACCAGCACCTTTAAATAGCTCAAGGATTAGCTATTTGTCCCCACTATATTTATTTATTTTTTCTAATCTTTAATGTGCCTTAATCCAACCAAAACTGCCCTGGTTTCCCCAGAGACAAAGCAAATGCAGAATTGCAGATTTTTGACCTTTCCTGCACCTCTGGTGATTGTGAGATAAGGTTTTCAGAGAGTTTTCAGAACCCCTTCAAGTGTGTGGCAGCTCCTCCTCTCAAAGGAGGCAAACAAAGGGAGTGTCACACATTTTTGATCTGGAAAAATTCAGATTCCAAATGAATGAACCTATTAGAATGAAGGATTTTTCTCAAGATCTTCACTTGCCAACTCAACAGAGGATCATTAATTAAATTTACACCAGGAGACATCCTGTCATCTAGGGAATGACAAGAACCTGTTGAACTTGAAACCCCAGAGTGACAAAGCAAAATTCAGCTTTTAGATTCATTTCCACATCTCCCCTTCCAAACACATGGCACTAAAACCCAGATAATTTAAGGTATTTCACGAGATAGCCTAAAATAATTTATGCTCCAGCTTCCTCATGTTATAAGTGAATATTATATTATTGGCTTTTCTCAAATATTATAATGAATGTTGTATGTATAAGGTTAGAAAACTTTGTTGTATTAATACCGTTTCTTTTATTTCTGTTATTGATGAAACATAGAAATAGTGGCATAACACAAATATCTTAGGCTATAACATGATATTAAAGCACAAATTACTTTTGTTTATATAACCCAGGGACTGAAAAGACAATCAGAGACCCCCCTGCATTATTAAGATTAGTTTGTCCTCCAAGCCCTCCAAGGGAAGGATTTATTGCACCCGGTATAGGAGGATATAAAACCCAGTGGTGCCAAGAAGATTGATCTGTTGGGAAGGGGGCAAGGTAAAAACCAAACAAAGGAACATCAAAAAACTTAAGAAGGATGTCTGAATATGTATGAGAATTTATGGATATGTGGTGGGGTTCTGTTTTTAAGGGACAATCCTTTGTTAGTAAGGTGACTGCAGAAACACCCAGCCATATCTGTATATTTTACTTTATTTTATCTCCTAATTGTCTTTCTATTAAACTTTTAAATTCTATAAAAAAATATTTGAACCTTGTTTTTCACACTCATTATTTAATCTGCAGCAGAAACAACCAGAAAAGCATCCAGGATGATTTCACTGCTCTGTGATGACCCATTGCACACACAGAAAATGCACTGAGCTCCCTTCCCAGCTCATTAATAATTAAGAGAAGCCCCAAATTGAACTGGTGCAGCATCTCTGTGATTCAGCTGCAGGCAACTTTCAGTTCCCACTTCGGATTTTTTACCTCATCCACAATCCCACCCCAAAGTCAGAGTGACCTCAGAACCATCCATCATTTACAGGAAAAAGGTAACAAAGCATCCCCAAAATGAGTTTGTGGTGAGTTTAGCACTTCAAAGGCAAGGCTGGAAGCAGATTAAATTCTTGGCTCGGGTCTCTGTGCCACAAAACCCTTCCCTTGGGAATTCAACAGCTGCAACACTTCCAGTAAATGTTACTTTCATTTTCCATTGCCTAAAATGATGGAAGCAAAAAGCAACTTTTTTGTTCCCTGGTACAGGGATGCCTCCACAAAACCTCTACAATTTCAGATTCCTGATGTATGAAAAATCATCATTAAAGCTGATTTTCAAGAAGCCTCGAATTCAGCTTCCAGGAGCTTTTAAGAGAAGCTCTGAAGGATACAAATATCCAAGGGAAGCACATCCTTGCATGCCACTGAAGTGTGTATTTTCTAAGTATGACACAGGATTAATTTGGATTAAAAGAACTACCACAGGATTTTTTTTCCCCCTAAATTACATTTGCACAGGGAGAATGACAAACAGCAGCGGAACTGAGCAAAGGCAATATTCCCAACAGCAGCTTTTTGAGCTCCAGAGACAAAATCCACCCAATTCACTGAAACATTTCCTATTTAATGTTATTTATTCTGCACTGGCTTCATCTATCAGCTGCTTTTTATCCACAGCACAGCATCCCAACAAAACTGACTTTGGCAACCCCTCTGGAAGGGAACTGGCAGAACAAAATGAAATCCTTCCAAAGCTTCCTCCTCAGAATACAGTTCAGTTCCTGAACAGAGAGATACAAAACCTCCCATTCATCCCAGCTGGGTGAAAGCTGACTGGAAATCCAACAGGAATTGAATCAAACATTTCAGCAACTCAGGCTCAAGTGCCCACAAGAAAGGCGATCAAAATACATTTACACAAAATCAGACAAACATTTTGTTCCTAAAGCAGAAACATTTCATGGTTTCTATCCACAAATGAAACTGAAGTTCCCAGAAACTTGTTGCATTTTTAATGTTTATAGACCCCCTAGCACAGAGGTGTCCCAGGATGAACATTTAATATGAATAATAATATTACAGATTTCTATTTTATATCAGGGGGTCTTGATCCTGTTCTCCCCCTGCCCAACCACAGTGGGTGTTTGAGAAGCTCCAGTCGAGCTGACAGAATTCCTTATGCTCCAAGTGATTTTGGAATGGTCTGGACAATGCTTTAGAGAACAGCAATCTGCTTAACTCAAGGGAAATCATGGAATGGTTTTGGTTGGGAGGGACCATAAAGCTCATCCAGAGGGCAGGGACATCTTCCACTATCCCAGACTTCTCCAAGCCCCAATGTCCAACCTGGCCTTGGGCACTGCCAGGGATCCAGGGGCAGCCCCAGCTGCTCTGGGAAAACATTTTCCAGTGCCTCAGCACCTTCACTTAAAGAATTTCTCCGTAATATCCCATCTAACCCCACTTTCTGTCAGTCTGAAGCCATTCCCTGGCTCCTGGCCCTGCAGCCCTTGGCAATTGTCTCTCTCCAGCTTTCCTGGGGCTCCTTCAGGCCCTGCAAGGCCACCCTGAGCTCAGCCCAAAGCTTCTCCTGGCCAGGCTGAACAATGGCAGCTGGGCCAGCCTTTCCTGCCAGCAGAGCTGCTCCATCCCTTGGAGCATCTTCACAGTCCATGTTTTCATCATCCTTCCCTTTTCATGCCAAGATGGAAAGAAGAGAGAGACCCAAATTTAGCAGGCACAGCCCAATTCCATCGGCTCCCAGGCAATGACCTCAGTTGATGGTGACACATTCCCATACAATTCCCTTCCTATCCCCCCTGGGGGGATCCTGCCCCACCAGATTTCACAGCAGGATCTGTAAAATATCATCCATCCCCAACAGGCTCCAAACTGCAGGAGAACCCAAAAAAGTGCATTTAAAGGCAAAACTGAAGTTTCACCCCTGCCTTTATTCCAGCAGGAACAGTGCAGTGGATTGAACTCCACCAGCAGTGCCAGCAGTAAGGCAGAAAGGTGAAAATCAGGGCAAATTTAGGTTTTTTTTTGCCTTTTATTTATTTAGTTTCCCCTCAGACTCCGAGAAGAATGGACACCTGATACCCAAGGATGTTTTGTAAAGACAGGCACCACCATTCAATCATGTGAGGGATTTTTTTTTCCTCAATACCTAAGGCAAAATTGCAAAATTTATATAAATCTACAGAAAAAAACCTCCTCTCCTCTTTGCAGAGCTGTGTATCTTCATAATCACAGTCACAGGCAAGACCTGTGGATCCCCAATCCCCCAAAATATGATTTTTAACCCCCAAACCCCACTTTACCTGGTTTTATTTTGCTCCCAGAGGCAATTTCTCAAGAGTCAAACGTGCCCAAGTTGAAGAAAAGGTCACCAGGGGCGTCTTTGAAGCAGCAGTGAGAGAAAAGCAAAGATTGAGTTTCATCCCTGCGAGTTTTCCTGGAACAAACAGCCCCCCTTGGCCTCCTCACTGTTGGTCCTCCCATAATTGTGGGGTCTACAGAGAAATTAAATTCATCACTGATCCCCCAAGGTTTAAATCCTCCAATTTGTGTTTTCTCAGGGCATTTTCCAGTAGTTTTCCTTGATCCTGAAGGGATTTGGGCATCCCTAAAAAGGGACTGAATTGATCCTTCCATCAAATGATCCCAAACCTGGCCTTCGCTCGTTGTCACCTCGGAATTCCAAATAAAGGGTGGAAAATACACAGGAAAAAAAAAATTATAGTCAATACTTCAATGTCTGGAATGGGATTGGAGGAGTGACAAAAGAGTAAACACATCTTTGTGTCTGCTGGGCATAAAATCATGATTTCATGGAAATGATATGATTAATGAAAATAATTAAAATTAGTAAAAGGACATCATCGTGGCAGGGTTGAGAAAGAACAGCAAAATAAACCCCAAAGCTTCATTAATGAGTTAAATTTTACCACACAAGTCAATGCTGCTCTTATTTAGACACAAATTCATTTTTATAAAATGCCCCCAGGTGCCAATACACCTAAAATTCACTATTTCCAAATGAAATATTCAAAACCATTTTTTCCTTCAATAAGGAGGAGTTTTAATCCTACCTGGAATACCAAACATGGAGATTTTTCCTTCAAATTAGATAGAAAACCCAAAATACTACAGATCTATATTTATATTTATACCAAAGTGATTGGTACCAAGTCTTAAAACTTTCCAGAGCAACTGATGATCATGGTGACAGATTTCAAAAGAATTGGCCTAAGATTTTTCACACAAATCCTCAAAAATTTATTTTCTTTTAATGAAATAATAACATTTTTACCTAAATTCTCTGCTGAAGTTGGTTACAGGCTTCATAAATTATTAATTCTATAATTAAGTATATTTAATTAATTAAAGATTAATTATATAATTATATCATTAATATAACTATTCACTGGGCTTAAATTGCTTAAATTGAGTCCTGGAGATAACTGCATTTGTGAAACTTGGGAGAAAGGAGATAAACAATAACAACAACAAAAAAAGTGAAATTCACTGTTTAAAAAACATCTGAACCACTTAACCTTGGGTTTTAACAGCATGGACCTGCCAGTTCCTGAATTTCCAGCTATTTCCTTGAACAGTATTCTTAAAAACAAGTTTAAAAAAGTAATTTCAAGACTTGTTTCAGCAAATCTTCACAGCCCACCTTTACTTAATTTTTGGTAACTCGGTAAATCTGATAATTTTGGGGGATGGGGGATCAATAGATTTGGCTGAATGAAGAATTGTGTGAAGGAAAATGGAGTGTTATACACCTTAACCCAGGAGAAATCTCCCAGAACCACAGGAAAATGATGAACATGGAGAAAACAACTGCATTTTTCTAATATTTACAAAGGCAAATTATATATTTACAACACAAAGACTTCCAATTATAATAATTTAAAAAGATCCCCAAGCGTCTGACTGCACAAAACACATTTTCTCTCCCTGAATTCCAAGAGAAATAGAATTAAACTCTGTCCAAAAGCTGCTTTTTTTTCCCTCTAAGAGGTGAAGTCCAAGCAGAAAGCTTCAAGTAACAGAACACTTTTAAACCTACTTTTTAAAATTTTTACAGAATAACCAGATAAATTACTGGGGCATGATTCTCACAGCGATTCAGAGTATTAAGGTGCATATTAATAATAATAATAATAAAAAAATAAATAATATTTTTTCATATAAATTTAATTATAAATTCACGGATGGGAAAAAAGCTGAAAGGATTTTTATTTTTAGCTTGGAGAGGTTTTAACTGTCCCTCTTAAAGTTTTATTAATTCTCTGTTCACACAGATTTTAGTAACTACTATCTGCTATTGCAGATCCCTTTTTCAGGGAGGAAGAACATCCTGTTGACTTCACTGATGGGAATATCCCTCAGTGCTGGAATTGCCTCCTCTTGGAATTTCTTCTGCTGCTGCTTTTTTGCAAAGTTATCTACAAAAGATAAGGAGAACATTTCATGGCTTCCAGATCCTTTTCTCCCAAAAATATTATATATATAAATATTATATTTAGATTATAATCATATAATGCAACACTACAAATTTAGCTACTTTAAAGGATGCTGAAAATCCCACAAGGACTTCCAAGAACTCAAATATTTAAAGGCTTAAAATTTGGTGTTTATTCTCTACAGATTTCCAGAATTCTCAGTGAAGGATTAAACTTTTAAATAAGCAGTAAAATTACCTGTGATGGTGTGAGTGGAGTTGAGTGGAGCTGTGCTCATCATGTTAATCCCAAAAAGCAAAATATAACCAATTCCCACAGCCACCAGGAGATAAACTGGCAGAGCAACTGCCCAGTACCTGAGAAAAAAGGATTTTAAATTTTACATTTAGTAACAAATGCTTAAGAATGAATCGGTTTTAATGTTTGGTATCGTATCTGTGATGAATTTCACCAAGAGGAAAAGAAACAACACCTCTGATTATGGATCCTGACTCCACTGGAGCTACTGACAACCAGATAAATTCCTTAAAAAAAGGTGTTTATTTTTCAATTATGGCCTAAAATTTACTGCATTTCCATCAGCAAACTTCCTGAAAGCAAAATGCCAAATTTATCTTAAACATCCCAATATTATTTATTTCATGGCACTACAAAACATTTTCACCATAGCTCCACAAGAAAAAAGCTTCAGAAACATTAAAGCCCATTATCATCAGGGAAAAATGGATTTAATGCAAGGCCATTATTTAAAAAGAAAAAAAGAGTTTTGTTATTTGACTATAATTAAAATTAAAGAGTTTAATTGGCTGAACTTACTTTTGAGGCCAGTATGTCAGTCCCAGGGAGAACAGCCAAGTCTCAGGAATATAAGCCCAGATCAGGTACAAAACTGCACAACAAAATTAAAAATTAAATACAAAATTAAAAATTAATAACAAAATTAAAAAGTCACAGTAAGACTGGCGGTGTTTTTGACTTCCTAAATAATATTTTAACCAAATAAATTTTTACTTAAACCAAAATAACTCTCCCAAAAGACTGCAGAATTTGCCTCTGAGACACAAATCCTGACCAGAACCTGCTTACACGGGATCAATTTTATATTTAATATTTAATTTCTGATTTCTTATGCAGACAAGAATTTATTCCAAGTTAAACTGCAGAACAATAAAAGAAAAAAAAAAACACAACAAAACCACCAAACACCTCAATGAAAAGAAACCAAAGGAATCTGAAGAGTGATAATATTAAAGCAAAATAAAAATCTCATTCTGGTCATTTAATGGGAAGAAAAAATGGGTGGAATTGCAGTGTTTGGGTGGAACTATAATGAAAAATTATTGCAAATTGTTCCTGGCAGAGGAACTGAACCCAACTGCTCCTCATTTCTCACTGCCCGAGGGTGCCAGAGACCCTCAGCAGGACCCTGCACCTTCTGTGGGGAAAAAGTGTTTTCTACCCTCTCCAACCTGCGATGGATCCCCAGGGAAATGAAGAACCCATCCCAGCAGCAGGGAAAACCTGATGGATCCCAAAACGTTTCCCACTGATGTTGAACGATTTTATTTATTTATTATTTTTCAGTATTTGGGTGGGGGAGGCAGCACCACAAGCACCTGCGGCTCTCAGTGAACGTGAGGAGAACATTCCGAGTGGGACTGGAGAAGCGATGGAAAATGGGAAGGCAGCAAAGCAGCGCTGCGGGGTGATGGATCCAGCCCCGGGATACTCACTGAAGCCAAACCACGAGCCCAAAAAAAGCGCAAATCCATAGATTGCCCTTTCTGGCAGCGGGGCCGGAGAGTTCTCCACCATCCTCGGTTCTTCCCCTTTAACTCGGCGGGGAGGGCGGAGAACGGGATCCGAGGGGATCGGAGATTTCCCGGGAAGCTCCTCCCTCCCTCACCCCCCCCGCCGGGCTCTGCCCCTTCGCTCTCCAGCGCTGGGACAGCAGCAGGAGGAAGAAGGGGAGGAAGAAGGGGAGGAAGGCTCTCCCTACCCCCGCTCCCGCATCCGTCTCCGCCCCGCCCGCATCCGGCCGCGCGCGCAGGCGCAAGGCCCGCTGATTGGCCGCTGCTCATGACGTCAGAGAGCGGACAGCCAATGGGCGGTGCGTCCGGCGGGCGGGGCACTCTGAGGCTGCGGGAGCGGCGGTGGCGGTGGCGTAGCGGGAGCGGAAGCGGAGCGGTGAGAGCGGGATGAGGGGCTGGATACCGGGATGGATACCGGGATGGATACCGGGATACGGGGGTGAAGGCATGGAGGGAGGGAGCGGTGGCTGCCCGGCTGCCTTTCCCCGCGCCTCTCTCAGCCCGGGAGCTCCGCTCGCTGCCCGGTTTGTGTCCGGCAGCGTGAGGCCCGCCCCGGCCCGCCCGAGGCGGAGCGCGGTCCCGTGAGTTCTCCGGGCTCGGGGAGCAGCGGCTCGGACAGGGCTGTGACGGACACCTGAGCGGGGAGCCCGGGGCTTTCCGGCACAGCATGGCGGCGGGGGGGAGCTCCGGAGGTGCTGGGACGGGGCGGGGTGTTCGGCATCCCGGGATGCAGCCGTGATCCCGGGATGCAGTCAGGATCCCGGGATGCTGCCGTGATCCCGCCGTGATCCCGGGATGCCGCCGTGATCCCGGGATGCACTCAGGATGCCGGGATGCAATCAGGATCCCGGGATGCAGTCAGGATCCCGGGACGCAGTCAGGATCCCGGGACGCAGTCAGGATCCCGGGATGCAGTCAGGATCCCGGGATGCAGTCAGGATCCCGGGATCACTCAGGATCCCGGGATCACTCAGGATCCCGGGATGCTGCTCCTTGACCCAGCAGGGGGAACCTGCCCCAGCTGCCTGTCAGAGGTGAGGCAGCGCCCCGGGACTTGTAGGGCTGCAGGACAGAGTTGGTCGGTGTGAAAAACAAGGTTTACGTATTTTTTTTTTTATAGATTTTAAAAGTTTAATAGAAAGACAATTAGGAGATAAAATAAAGTAAAATATACAGATATGGTTGGGTGTTTCTGCATTCACCTTACTAACAAAGGATTGTCCCTTATAAACAGAACCCCACCACATATCCATAAATTCTCATACATATTCAGACATCCTTCTTAAGTTTTTTGATGTTCCTTTGTTTGGTTTTTACCTTGCCCCCTTCCCAACAGATCAATCTTCTTGGCACCACTGGGTTTTATATCCTCCTATACCGGGTGCAATAAATCCTTCCCTTGGAGGGCTTGGAGGACAAACTAATCTTAATAATGCAGGGGGGTCTCTGATTGTCTTTTCAGTCCCTGGGTTATATAAACAAAAGTAATTTGTGCTTTAATATCATGTTACAGCCTAACATATGTAGGTATTACACCACTATTTCTATGTTTCATCAATAACAGAAATAAAAGAAACGGTATTAATACAACAAAGTTTTCTAACCTTATACATACAACATTCATTATAATATTTGAGAAAAACCAATAATATAATATTCACTTATAACTTTGTCACAAGCTTTTAGCCAGGTTTAGGATGGCTGTTGTCAGCACTGATTCTCCTTTCACAAACACAACAGCTTCCACAAATCCCGAGCAAAGTGGGATTTGGCGGAGGGATCATTTCAAGTGTTGCCCACCTCCTGTTGTTTGCCTCGTGTCTTCCTCTGGTGTATTTCTCATCTTCCCTTTCTCTCAGGGGGATGTGCCATGGCTGAGTCTCTGTTCAAATCCGTCCTCACAGCCTTGGCTCGCTCTAGACGTGATCCAGACATCTTTGCACTGGTAAGTGGGGTTGGAACTGGATTGGAAACTTTTCAGGATGTTCCAGGTGAGTTTTTACCCAGATCTGGCCCTGGCACAGAGCATGTGAGGGCACAGCTGTGGCTGCCCTGGACCCCTGGAAGTGTCCAAGGCCAGCTTGGATGGGATTTGGAGCAGCCTGGGACAGTGGAAGGTGTCCCTGCCTGTGGCAGGGGTGCAGTAGGAGGATATTCAAGGTCCCTTCCAACCCAAGTAATTCTGGGATTCTCTGATCCTCTGATCAGATCTCCAGAGTCATTTCCAGCATGATTAACTCTAGGTCCAGGTGCCTCACACTGACCATAATTCCAAAATGCCCAGACTGGGGCAGAGCCCAGGTCCCTGTCAGCAGGGCTGGCTGAGGAGGGCAGCTGGGCCAGCTTCTGTCAGCAGAACTTGCCCAGCCTGTTGGTCCAGTGGCCATTCCTGGGGTGCTGCAGCTCTGCCTGACACCTTCAGTCCCTGTCACTGCAGGGCAGTCCGCTTTTGGATCCTGGGATTTCAGCTCTTGGCTTGTGGGGTTTCAGCTCTTGGATCCTGTGGTTTCAGCTCTGCACACTGACTGCAGCATTGTCCCTTTGTTGTTCTAATCTCTTACAATTTTATGTGTTTCTTTGTGCCCAGGAAGGCTCTGCTTATTTCATCCCAGAACCCCAGGCTGGTTTGGGTTGGAAGGGACCTTAGAGCTCATCCAGTTCCATGGCAGGGACACCTCCCACTGTCCCAGGTGCTCCCAATGTCCAGCCTGGCCTTGGGCACTGCCAGGGATCCAGGGGCAGCCCCAGCTGCTCTGGCAATTCCATCCCAGCCCCTGCCCACCCTGCCAGGGAACAATTCCTGCCCCAGATCCCAAGATCCAGCCCTGCCCTCTGCCACTGGCAGCCATTCCCTGGCTCCTGTGGAATTTTCCCTCTCAGTTACTGCTGTGCTTTTTCTGGATAAACTGCAGCACTTTTCTGCTTCCATACTTCCAGGACTACTTCACTGCTTCTTTTCCCCTTTTTGCTGTGCTAGAGGAATCTCAGAAATCCCTAATTTCCATATCTGTGCTGCTTGTAGAGCTCATCAGGAGTTACTAATTTATCAGTGTGGCCTTTTGTCCTCCCCAGGCTGGAATTAAAAACACAGATAAATTGTATTTCTCCTTTTTTCAAGCTCAGCCTTTCCAAGGGACTGGTACCAGTAGAGCTGTGATTCCATTCAGAATTTATTTATATCAGTGGAGATTTTTTGGGGTGTTTGCTGCTCCCAGACAAAGCTCTTTAAGAGTTATCAGTTGTCTTTCAAGACGAGCTAATTTTAAATCTCAGATGATGTTTTTTTCCCCTCCTGGTTATTGTGTGTCCTGGCCTGTTAAATACATGAATTTTATAATTTCTGCAATTCTGTGAAATGACAATGCAGCGTTTCCTGTGATGCAGAGCATTTATTAAATCACACATTTATGATGTTTGTTTAAATAGCAGACTTTGTAGGGATCTATAAATCAGAATAAATAATTTCTTCTTCAGATTGAGGTGCTCAAATGGGGTTTGAACCCCTTAAAAGTAACATGAAATACTAAATCAACTCTTATTTTGCTGCAGATGGTTTTATTTAAATACACATTCACTGTCAAAATGTACTTACTATTTTTGAATATTTTTTTTAAAAACCTGTATTGCCTTCTTAAACCTTTATATTTAGTCAGGTACTCTTGAACATAATTTTGCTGCCTGATTTTTGAATTATTAATTCCTAGAATCCTCTTTTATTCTGATTGAAAATGAACAAATTCATTGTTTCAATGAATAAAGCTTTTCCTGTCCACCTTAACCTGTGGACATGTTTATAATGGCTATGCAGGTAAACATTCTTTATTATCTCAAAACAAAATGATTTCTTTGTTCCTGGCTTGGGTTTCTGTGTTTGCTTTTTGGCTGTGCAGTACAATAAATGGTAAATATGTAAATATATAACATGTAAATATGTAAAGAATGTGTTTATCTTCAGAGTCGTGGAACCTTTGGACAGACAGTGCTGCCTAATCATAAAGCAGGTAGGGAAACTAAACCAATATCCTTCCATTTCTTGGATCTTGGGATTGCTGTTTGATTTGATTTTTCCTTATTTTGCCTGAAAAATTAGTGCATTATTATTTCTGGGCAGAAGCATTGTTATATCCTGTTACCCTGGGACAATACTCATCTGTTTCTCCTAATATAACTTAAATATTCAGTAATATTTACATAAATGCAAGCAATTAATGCTGGGAGCATGGAGATTCAAGGCTGGTGGTCTAAAGACAACCTCATGTTGAATTTTTTCATGTTTTTTTTATTATTATTACTTTTGTAGGGAAGGCTTTGCAGTAATTAATAAGCAAAAATTCCCAGTTGCAGAAAAGCAGGTGGCTCAAATTCAAAACTGTATTTTCTACACAACCCCCTAATTTGTGGGAACAAAGAGATGACCAGGGGTGGAAAGAGAATTTTTGTGTATTTTTATGTATTTATTTTTGTGTATTTTTGTGTATTTTCAGACCCCCAGGTGATGCTGTCCTGCTCTCAGGGTATCTCAAGCCACCCCAATAAACTGAATTTCCCTTTTCATTTCCTCCAGAGGACTTGAAGCCACCTCAATGACCCAATTTAATTTTGAATTCCCCTCCATCCCTCCCTGTTCCATGTGGATCCTGGGAAGTGCAGGATGCTCTTGGAGAGCCCTGAACCAGGATGGCTTTTGAGAACAAACCCTGATGGTTTTGTGCCCTGTTGCCCTGCTTTTATTGTCCAGAATAATTCATGGATACAGGTGGGAGAGGCTGAATTTTCCCTGGAAAAGAACATTTGAGTCCAGCCTAGTGAGGAGGCTGCATTTATCCATTTTTATCTTAATTTATCTATTCAGAACACAGGAGTGCAAAGCCTTCCAACAACTCCTATCCTTAATTCCACATAAATCCCCTCTCCCCCTCCCATTTAAAAACTGCGAGGTGAGTTCAGAGTGCTCAAATTCCCTTATTTTTGTTTGTCAGGAGTAGAGGCTGGAAAAAATCCCAGATTTTAATGTTTATTGGCACTTTGGAATGCCTGAATTGTGCCCTGTAATTCCCATTTATGTTTTTTTTTTTCCCCCTTGGAGGAGTTGATCCCTGTGAGGTTTGGTGCAGTCAGCCTGTGGAAAAATTACTGGAATATTGCAACGTGAGCAAAATCAGGTTGTTTTGGTCTGTGTTCTTCACCAGGCGAAGCATTTCCTTTCTAGATGAATTTCGGTGAGTATCCACATTTTCCAAAGGGTTTTCCTCCAAATCTTCCCACTTTTCCTTGTTCCCTGTCAAAATTCCTTGTGTGCTTCCAGTAGGGCTCAAAGTGGTGCAAAAATGTTGGAATTGGTTGAGGTCGTAAGTTCTTGAATCCACAGGAGAAAAAACCAAAAAAACCAAACATATTTATATTTAGACTGAGTTCCTGAAGTCTGGAATCTTTGGGAAGCTGAAGTTTGGGGGGAATTTCAGTGTTTGTGTAGATGCTGACATTTCAAAAGCAGCAAAATATTTTAAAATTATTTTTTACTTAATTATTTTTTACTTAATTATTTTTACTTAATTATTTTTATTTACCAGCCCTGCCCTATTTATATTTAATTATTTATATTTAATTATTTTTAAATTATTTTTATTTAATTATTTTAAAATTATTTTTATTTAAATATTTAACTTTTTAGAAACATTCTTTCATTTTTTTAAAAAATTATCTTAATTTTTTTTTTTTTTCCTTCCTCCCCTGAAGGGCTTGGTGTGAATTTTTAAACATTCTCTTCCTTACATTTAATTCCTCTAAATATTCGTAATGAAGACCCTGTAACACCTTGGGTTTTGTCTAAATTATAATTTATTCTGTTTTCCAACAGTTCAATGGTCCTGGGCTGGAACATGGAGGCAATCCATGAGTGTGATATTTTGGAAGACCTTGCTGATTTAATTAAAAAAGTTGTTGTAAGTCCTGGATTTTAAATTTCTCTGAATTTTCAAATATATGTTAATTAAATCTGTCCCCTAAGCGTTTTGGGATGATATTCTAAATTAGATATTCCCTTTTGCTGAAGACATTATTTGATAATTGAGTTGCAGCTTTCCAAAGAAGAAATTATGGCCTAGGCTTTATTCCAGTTGGGATAATTTAGGGATTATTTGAAGTCAGCAATAAAGTTGATGGATGAATGACTTAAATAATTTCCTTTTTCCCCTCATTCAACAAATGTTTTAAATTTGCTGCTGTTGATGACTTAAAACAGAAACAGAACAGTGGAGAGGAGGATGTGAGGAATATTCTCAGCAGCTGAAGGGATTTGTTGTGGGTTTTATTTTAAATTTAGGTAATAAAACACTTATTTCACTTCTTGAAATTCCTCTCTCAACCCCAAGCTACATATTTTATTTTATAAATTTAAGTATAACACATTTCTTTCCATTCTTTGGGTTGTACATCCAAGAGTAAAAGGGGATTTGGAGGAGCAGATTTTGGGGTGGTTTCAGAGCAGGAAATGTTCCTGAGCTGAACCTGAGCAGGCAGAAATTCAGATTATCTCATCTCAATAATGACTTTTTTTTCATTTGTGTTTTCTCCTTGTTCCAGAACATCCCACATTTTATCAATGGCATCCTGAGGATCGCCAGTAGACTAGAAAATGTGAGTTTCTGGAGTTGTTTGGAAGATTCCCTGGAGCTCCTCAGGGGAAATCTCCTGATCCATCTTTTTATTTACAAAATCCAGTTTCTGGTAGAGCTGAACTCATTGTATTTTCCAGCTTGAAAACTTTGGGCTCTGAAGATCCTGAATTTTTCCTGTGTTTAATCCCTTTTTTCCCTCCACTTGGAAGAAAATCCTGGGGTCTGCTGTGTGTTAAATGCAAAAGCTGAAATCAAAGCAATGAATTTAAAAACCAACATTGTTGTAGCAATAGGAAAACCAGAATAAACACAACTGTGGATTCCCCAGTTGTTTTATTTGTGGGGATATTTGTCTTTCTCATGTGATTTTCTTTTCTGTTATTTTTCAACAGCCATTAACAAGTTTCTAAATCAAATTTTAGGGGGTTTATGTTATTTTTAATTTTTTTAATAATTTCAGTCATCATGAGGAAGTTTCTAAATCAAATTTGAGGAGGTTTATATTATTTTTTTTTAATCATTTCACCCACCACGAGGAAGTTTTTAAATCAAGTATGATTTATATAAAAAACTAGATATTACAAAATAATAGTTACTACTAAAATAACAATGAAAATTATTTTTCAATCATTTCAGAAGCTTCCAAATCAAATTCTAGCATTTGAATGCTCCCCCTTGCCAAGTTTGGGTTGATTTTGTCACCATGCTGTGCTGGAGCTCCCCAGATAATTTGAATTTATTCGCTGTTGCTTGTTTAAAAAATCAGCTAAAGCAGAGGCTAAGAGCTCCAGCACTTGGCTTTGTATAGTAATTATTTTATTAATTGTATATTAAAGACCTTTTCTTGATTTTCTGGGGGTTTTTTTGCTAATTGGAACAGGGTTTCTTCCACATTGAAGATGCCCTGGAATGGGTCAGGTGTGTGGGGGATTCCAACATCCTGCAGAGACTGGAGCAGCTCGAGGACGGTGGCCAGGTCAAACTTCAAATTCTTTTTGTTGAATGTGAGTATGGACACTCCAGAAGGGTCCAGAAATGAGGGAAAAAATAAAAAAAAAAAAAATCACTTTACTCTTAGAAATGGTGAAATAATTTGTGTTCTTCTCTTTCTTCTGAGATTCTCCGATAAAACTGAATTTTCACCGCTCCCATTGTTGCAGTTTTTCAGCTGTGTGACAGGTTTTGCTGGCAGGCAGGAGCAGAGCTGGATTTTTTAGTGGCAGAGGAGAAACTCTGAGAAATTCCTCACTCCTCTTGTGCTTTCCTGAATTTTGTCTCCAGGGAAACGTTGCATCACCAAAGTGGCACTGGAAGATTGTGATTTAGTGGCAGAATTGAAAGCTGTGACCTGTGAGAGCTCCAGGAAGGTGAGAGAAGCTCTCAGGATGTGTTTGGGTCGTTTTTTTGGGGGGTTTTGATGATCAGGGGTTGTAAAAATCCCCCAATTATTAAAGAGAAATGTTTCAAAAGCTCTCGAGGGTTTAATTCTGGCATAAATAATTCCCTTTGCTACGTGAAGCAATTCCCTTTACCACATGAAGCAATTCCCTTTACCACATGAAATAATTCCCTTTCCATTGCTGAATTAAAGGAGTTTAGTGGGTAAATTGTTTGTTCTTGCTCCCACAGAAAAGTGAATCCATGAAGCAGAAAGGAAATGCTGAATTTTCCCAAGGAGCCCTGGGCTCTGCCATCGTGTCATACACCAAAGCCATGGAGTTTTGGTAAGAACTGATCTCAACTGCTTCACATTTATCCTCATTTTGTACAATTTTCCATCAGCCACTTTAATTAGAAGCCAGATGATGCCTAATCAAAAAACGAAAAAAGCCTTATAACCCATTTTTTATTCTGTTTTTTCCCCCATTACTACTGGTTTTTGGGTGCTTTTACAGCTCCAAAAGTCCTGTCAGGGTTTCAAATGACCAAAAGGAAGAGGAGCAAACCTGGAAGAAAATGAATTATTTGGTGTGGACAACCAAGAGCAGCCACTTTGGGTGTTTGCCCTCAAAATACTCTTGGAAATATTGCCAATATTTATCATTATTTGTCTTTATTCCTATGATGCAAAAGGAATAACAACAAATATTTCACTGCCTGCTCCTGGCAGCTCTCAGGCTTTATTTCCTTTTAAAATCTTTTTCTTTAATTTCTTCCCTAGAAACATTTCCTGAAAGGTTCTGGAGACTTTCCTGGGCTCTGTAGAAGGGAGAAAGGGATGAAATGGGAATTTTTAGGGCATTTTTTTCCCCTTCCCTTGGAATGTCAGCAGGGTTGGTGTGTTCAGCGTTGGTGCTGTGCTCATGGAAATTCTGATTTTGCTCATTCTGGTGTCTCTAAAATGCAGGAAAATTGATAAAATCCCACTTTCCACAAAACCACGTTGTGCAAAGAGTCAGATTCTTCATTTTGAAGTCTGTGGCTTTACAATTATGCCCTTAAAAGGATCAGGATTTTTGATTTATTTACCCTCCCTTTTATCCATACCGAGGCCTGATCGTGTACAATTTAATTCAATCCATTAATTTCTAATATTCTGTCAATAAATTCATTTTAATCTCCCTTAAATGCCACATGGCAGGAGAGGTTTTGGTCCCAAATTCAAGCTGATTTCTTGCAAAATGGAGTCCCCTTGAGTCAAATCCGAGAAGGGAAAAGCAGAACTTGGTGGAAAACCAGGAAATCCTGGTAAAGAGCAGAGATCCTGCGAGTTCCTGGAACTGCAGAGCTGAGCTGCTTTTTAAGAGTAGGCTGAGAATAGTTTGAATTATTTGGAAGTTGTTTTAACAGCCCAAATCTTAGAGAAGATCCCACCATTAAAATGAACATTCCCAGTGACAAATCCGCGGGGTTTTCTGTGCTGAAAATTGAATTTTTTTCCCTTCTCTTTAGGGTTTTTAATAGGAATACCCATTATTAACTGTCCATAATCTTCTTTTTTCCAAGCCCTACAAACCACCTCCTGTATGGGAACCGAGCCCTGTGCTTCATTCTCACCGGGCAGTACGAGTGAGTAACCCTTGGAATGCTGGGCTGAGCTGCCTTCAAAACGGGGTGTTTTCCAAGAAAATTGGGTTTTCTGCAGCTAAAACTTGAAATGATTTCTGATGATGTGACTGCAGTTGGTTGTAATTACGGATTTCTCATCCCTGGAAGTGCCCAAGGCCAGCTTGGAGCAGCCTGGGACAGTGGAAGGTGTCCCTGTGCATTTTGGGGTGGAGCTGGATGAGGTTTAAGGTCCTTTCCCACCCAAACCATTCCATAGTTCCACCAGCTGCTCTTTTACTCCATTTATTTTATTTTTATATTCTAATTTGCTGTATTTGTGTTTCTGCTCTTCACACCAGCCTGGAGAGTTTTTTGGAGGTATAAATAATAAATTCCTCTTCTTTCCCCTCCCTTCTCTCAGGAAAGCTGCAATTGATGGAAAAAGAGCCACAGTTCTCAAGCCTGATTGGCCAAAGGTTGGTTTCTATTCCAAAATCCCCTTTTTTTTGGCATTTTAGGGCAAGAGGAGAACCCAGAGCTAATTTTTAATGAATGAACAGGAGAGCTTTGTGGACTGAGAATTCTGCCAAGTGCAGTTTGCTTGGGGTTTTTAGATTTAAAATGTTATTTCTAATCTAAAAAATTATTTTAAATCTAAGATTTGAATCTGTCAGTGTTGGTGTGAGGTGCTTGGCCTGTGTAAAGACAGAAGAAAATGTTTCTTATGTTGTGAGTTACCAGAATGCTTCAAAAGAAAATAAAACATGTAGAATATCTAAAAATATTCTGCTTAATGGCCAACAGGTATTTCCCAATATTCTTGGCCCAGAGGAGAGTAAATAATAAATTATTTTTATATATTTATAAACATTATTATTTATTTTTATTTTATATTGTATAAATTATATTATTTAGTGTATGTATATATATGTATATAGTATGTGTATATATACACAAATATAAATATTTTTATATAAATACATTTTTTTATAAATATAAATATAAATATATATTAAAAATAAATAATTAAATAATATTCTTGGCCCAGAGGAGAGTAAATAGAAAAATATTTATGTATATTTATATTAATTATATTATAATAATTATATAATTACTATTTTTAATTAGTTTGCATATTGTATAAAATATTGTATTATTTTTATATATACATAAGTATATGGCAAATAACTAAATAATAAATGCTTAGAACATTGCAAAGTAGCTGAGATTAGGGGGGAAAAAAGCAAATTTGCTCTTTCCCAAAGCAAAAAACCACCAAATCCACTTTTCCCCCCAAAAGCTCTTCCCAATGGCTTTTCCCAATGGCTTTTCCCTGTTTGGTCTGTGCTGAGCAGTTAAAATCTGATTTTCATCAGCTGGGAGCAGTTCCCTTTCTGCACGATACCAAACCTGACTTTTTTGCTGTTACAGCAGCAGCTTTGGGTAGAAATCCTTCACTCCTGGGTGTGGCTAAAACCTTCAAATTCTGAATTTTTTCGTCCTGCCAGGGTCACCACCACTACTGCAAAGCCCTGGCCCTGCTGGGGGAGGCTGAGCACGCACTGGAGGCCAACAAGAAAGCGCAGGAGCTCTGCCAGAAAGATCCTCAGGGGCTCAAGGAGCTCCTCCAGCAGAATGAAACACTCAAGAAGAGCCTGCAGGAAATCCATGGTAATTTATTGATTGCAAAACTGGGGAGCTTTGCCACGAAACCAGCTGGGTTTTTTATTTTTAGTTTGATTTTTGATCGAATTAAAATTATTTAAATATTTTTATTTTAAATTTAAATGAAAGAAATTAAAATAAAAACAAATTAAATAAGATTAAATTCGATTTAAATGTGTTTATTAATTTAATTTTAATCAAATTAAAATTAATTTTATTTTAAATTTAAATGAAAGAAATTAAAACGAAAACAAATTAAATAAGATTAAATTTGATTTAAATTTGTTTATTAATTTAATTTTAATCAAATTTAAATGATATAATTAATTTTATTATAAATTTAAACAAAAGAAATTCAAATAAAATTAATTAAAATTAAATTTTATTTAAATTTATTAATTTATTTTTAATTAAATTAAAATTAATTAATTTTATTTTAAATTTAAATAAAAGAAATTCAAATAAAAATAAATAAAAATGCATTTGATTTGCATTTATTTATTAATTTAATTTTAACTAAATCAGCTTAAAATTAAATAAATAGATTTTAATTCATTATATTAATTTAATTTAAATTAATTAAATTTATTTTAAATGATAAGTTAAATAATGAATTTGTTTGTTTTGTAGGTACTAAGCATAAACAGAAGGCGAGGAAGTCTCCGCTTGGGGAGAAGTAAGGAATTGCTTTGTTTTTAATTGATTTATTTGTTTTTTTATTGGCAGTGTTTAGTAGAAGGTTTGAGTGCTACATAATGTGGATATTGCATAAAACTTTTCTGTCAGCAATTAAAAATGGAAATATTAAATTGATCAGGAGTACTGAGGATTTCCAAGAACTAAATCAAATTATCTTGGGTATCCAAAGCAGCGTGGGCAGCGGGGCCAGGGTAGTTTAAACAATTAACTGCCATTATTAATGACTTAATTTTTAAAGATGTAAATTTAGTCATTCAATTCCAGTCCCATTTGTAGAAAATATTGTGACTTTTTTGCTGTTGCTGTATCTTTGCACAAGTTTGGACTGTACAGTTTGAAGCTGTAAAAGCACGAGCGATGAAATATTTCAAATATATTTATGGGATTACACGCCTCTAATATGTTAATTAGATTAATTTGTATTAATCTGCTTTTTTCATGCTACATATGTAAAATACGGAGAAAAGCACTGAGATTCTCTCCTTTTCCACCTCAGGGTCTCTTCTTCAAAATCTCCTTCAAGAACCTCCCAAAAACAGAAAGGAGGAGAAAAAGAGAGGAAGAAAACCCAGGCTGAGCCCAAACATCCCCAGGGGCCTCAAAAACACGATGCCAAGGTACAGCTGGAATTTCTGGAATTCCAGTGCCTGGAATCGTGGAGTTCTTTCAGCAATTGTGCGATTTTCATGGGATATTTCCTTCCAAACCCACTGCAGAAATTGGGATTTTAAAGGAGGTGGGAGGAGGAGATGGCCACTGTCATGTTTTGTACTTTTAATTTTATATTTGTAGCTTTTTCCATTTTCAATTAGCTAATTATTTTATTAATTCAAAGAGACATAATAAGCTAATTAATTTAAAGAGGCATCTGTGATGTTTGGATTGTCTTTGCTGCTGTTATTGTGATAATAGATTCGAATTTATGTGTTAATGATATATATGATATTTTTATTTTATTAAATATATAAATAATATTTATTATATCTAATTATAATTTATAACTATAAAGTATTTTATATCAATTATATATTATAACTATAAATTTATAATTTATTCTATTTTATTTACTATTTAATTTATATTTATTCTATTATAACTTAGCCAATGAACTGCACTATAAAAAAGGCTGCATAATGCAGCAAATGCTGATAAATAAAGTGAATTTAGAGCCAGTCCAGGCCCATTCCAGCAGAGCTGTTTGTGCTCTCAGAGCAGGGGGAGGGCCCTGGGCAGTGACGTGGCCCTGGGAAAACGAAACCAGAGCAGGAGGGCAGGAAATGGAAATTCTGGAATTTGTTGGCAGAGAAAAACAGGCTGGGAAAAGCCCCAGGAGTGCTCAGGGGTTTTCTTGAATTTCCTCCTGAAAACCTCTCTGCAGGGCTGTGAGTTTGGCTTCCCTCAGGGTGAATATTCCTGTGGAAGAGGCTGGTGGTTGTCAGATTCCGAATTGAGACAAACCCGGGAGGAAAATCATTATAAAAGCGCTTTGATTAATGAAATCCTTTTTCTCTGCCTCTCGGTTAAGAGCATAGCGCAGCACATTTTCATTTCTTTTGTTGCTGAGGGGTTTGGGGTTTGTTTTTTTTTCAGTGAGGGAGATGGATTTGAGTTTTGTAATTTGATATTTTTGCCGGCAGGTGACCGAGCCCCAGAGAACAGAAGGCAACGTTTCCACGCTGGAGCAGCCTCCAAGTGAGTTTATTTTTGCTTTTTATCAACTCTGGCCCACTTTTACCTCTGCTGCTGCCATAATTAATAACTAGAAGTGCATTTCCTGTCATTTCCACAACAATAATCTTTTACTTCTTCCTTAGACACTTCTGTATTTCTGTCTTAATTCCTTGATGCGTTTGTAATTTGAGTCTCCTTGACTGAATTCAGGATTGAAACTGGAATTAAAGAGTAAAATCTGAGTCACAGTCTGGAAATGCTTTCCCTCCCCCTGAGCCATGATCTGAAAGGATCTAAATTTAAAGAGGAATCTGTATTTCAACATTTACAGTGAATTTGTGGTTAATAAAAGCTACATCAGCAAATAATTCTGCAGGTAAAGAGGGATGAGGCCACAAAATACTTGGCAGAGTGGATTTTTAGCTGCAGACTTTGAGAGTTGTGTGATTTCTTGTTGATTTTTGGGGTTTTTTTTAATGAATAAATAATTTTCTAGGGAGAACTCCCACCCCCCAAAACTCCCCCAGTGCCAGAGTTACTTTTATGTGCTGCAGGTGGAGTTCAGGCAGTTCTGAGCTTCAAAGGAAAATCCCTTCCTAAATTTTCCTGTTTTTTTTTTTTTGCCACCTGCTCTCACTGAAGCCTTTGGTTGCCAGTTCCTGACGTATTTAAACACCTGAGGAGGTGGCAAAGCACAGAGCACTTGAAAATCGGATTTTAGGAAGCCACTGAAGGTGTATCAGAAAACACTGCTTTAAAAATGAGCGTTGGGAGAAGCGATCCTGATCTTGTGAGCTTTGTGAACATCCTGGAGGGTGAAAGGGTTTCTTGGGAGGTGGAAAACCTGGGGAAGCTTGCATGGGACATCTCAGGATGTTTTTGGTTGGGAAGATGTGGAGTGGTAGTGGAGGAAAGAATGAAGACTTTCTTCTTCTGGGAAGAGAGGCTGGGAGAGCTGGGATTGCTCAGCCTGGGAGAGGTTTTGGGGAGAGCTCAGAGCCCCTTGCAGGGCCTGAAGGGGCTCCAGGAGAGGGATTTGGACAAGGCTGGAGGGACAAGAGCCAGGGAATGGGCAGGGCTGGATGGGATCTTGGGCAGGAATTGTTCCCTGGGAGCCTGGGGAACTCCTGGCTTTCTAAATCCCTTCTCCAGGAGGAGTCTGGGTGTGCCTGGGTCCAGGTTTAGTGCCAGACCTGGGCTCTGGTTTAGCCTGTCTGCGATGGGGAGCTCTGAGTGGTGATCAGATCACTAAAATGTGATTTTACTGTGGGCTGCATGAGCTTCTGGACCCTGCTAGGAAGGCCACAAGGATCAGGTTAAACATCATACAAACATACAAATTACACATTTTGCAACATCTCTTCCACTTGATTCCATCTTCTTCCCTGTCTCGGGGTTGATTCAATTTCCTTGCAGTCTTCAAAGCTCTGTTTGTTCTTGCCAAGGAATCCTGGCTATCGAACCCTAATTAATGCTAATCAAGTCTCAAGTACTTCCTGACTTTACAAAATATGCCCAAGGGTTTTTTTTGAGGTGGAGTTGATCTTTTCTGGGAGGATTGGGGATGGCAAACCCAAGATGTTGGTATAGGTGAAATAAATCCTGTATTTCGGTTGATGGAGATAAAATCATTAGAGAAAGGGATTTTAATCAATCTGTTGATACTTTAGTATCAGTATTTGTTTCTTCAAGCAATGATTATTGTTTAGACTGGAGCAGAGAAGGCTCCAGGCAAACCTTAAATCCCCTTGCAGGGCCTGAAGGGGCTCCAGGAGAGACTTGGAGCAGGGAATGACAGGACACAGGGAATGGCCTTGAGCTGAAGGAGCTGATGCTGAAACCAACCAAACCCAAACTTTCTAACCCAATCTGAGGGATGAAAAAGCAGCTGTGGAGTGTCTTGTGCTTTATTTCTTGGGTTCTTTTTGAGGTTGGGATTAATGAGTGAAAGACAGTTTTTGTGTTTGGACTGGGTGTTGATTTTTTCTTATTTCTATTACATTCTCTCAGTTCATTTGCACACTGAGCTGACAATCTAAAAAATGGAGCTCCAGATCTCTCTCTCCAAGGCCTTTTAAGTCTAAACTCCCCAATTATAAATTGCCAACTAATTTATTACTTTTAACTTGATAACAAAACACCCCACTGTGTTCCCCACTGTGGATTTTGCTCTCCAATCACACAATATTACTAAAATCTGTGAAGAAGGAGGAGAAAGAACAAGGCAAGCTGATGCCTTAAACCTCCACCTTGTTGCATATATATTACTATATTTTAAACTTTAAAGTCTAAATTTTTCTACCAAGTGATACTATTCAAACTATACAGGACAGTTTCACTTCTGGCTGTCAATTTTGGAAGCCTTTTCCACGGCCTCAGGTCAAACCCGGTGTTCTCCTGTCGCTCTGTCAAGCACAAAAAGCCTGAAATTCTCTGTGCCCAGCGTTCCAACAATCAGCCACTCCTAATCCTCAGTGCTGAGCACACCCAGAGACCTCTGGAATTCATCCACCTCTTCCTGAAGCTTCTGGAGGGTCATTTGAAGGCTTCTCTGGGCTTGTTATTCACTGAGAGCCCCCAATATTTGGAGTTTCCTTGCCTTGAGCTCCTCTTTGGGCGTCTGCTGCTCGTTCTGGTTACGTCATTTTGCCCCAACCCCTCTTCACTCCTTGTTATCTGTTCCCCCCCAGTTTCCAGCTGTGTTCAGCATCCTCTGGGTCTCTCTGACATCCTTTTATCTCCTTTGCAAGTTGGGCTCTGAGCTCTTATCCAGCACCTTCAGGGGGACCGGGAATTTCCCTTCTCCTGTCAGAGGACAGACGTGAAATTGGGCATTAAATTAGAAATTCTTTCCTGGGAGAGCGAGGAGGGCTGGCAGGCACAGAGAGGCTGGAGAAGGGGCAGGGTGGCTGATTTTTGGAGGGATTGCTGAAGGAAGAGAGGATGAATGCTGGGATAAATCTGACAATTCCTGGTGAAACACCGCGAAACGCGCCGGGCGCGTGGGAATCTCAACGCAACTCGTGTTCGTCCCGCGTTGCTTCTTTATTTTTTACTGCTTTATTTTCACTTTCTGTTCTCCCTCCTCCCCCTCGTTTTGTGGAGCAAAATATTTGATTTGAAAGAAGGAGGAGGCTCCCAGTGACTGGCTGGCCCCAGTTTGCTGTGGGTGGGGAGGAAGAGCCTTTTTCTTTTTTTTCCTTTTGCCTTTGTTCAGTGAACTTGCAGGAGTTCTAATGGGAAAGAACTTAATGCCAAATTATATTATTGCAAAGTTATTGGCCTTTTTGATTAATTTTTCCTGCTACTTCCTGTTTTTGGTCTTCATGTACTGTTTCTTTGAGCTTGTGTATATTTTTATTAAATATCTTTGGTCTCTCGTAATGGAAAGTGCTAGGAAAAGTAATACTACTTCTCCTAATATTTTTAAGTGTTTGTGGGGTAAGTAAATGATGTTTTTTGTGGAATTAATGCATTTCCTTAAGTATTTTTACTGTAAATCAGCTGGATTTGGTTGTTACCTTTATTTTGAAGCTTTTTTATTTCATCTGGAAGTAGCATTTTAAGTTGGGTGTTGTGGGGGAGGAGTTGTTTCTATGGGAATTGTTTCTGCAGTAATTATTGTTGAATGGCTTTTGAAATTGGATCATTCAGGGGGGGGAAAAAAAACCAAAAAACAGTGCTGATTGATTTCTTCCTTCGATGGTTGGATGGTTTCTTTCCTCCTCACTAAGATTTTGTTGCGAGTTAGATCGGTTCCTTGAGGGAAAGCAACACGTAAAATGAAGGAAAGGTGAAATATCTCGGTCTTTGCATGGTTAAAGGATGATGTGCTGGAGGTGTTTTCAGGCTTCCAGAAGGATTCTTATTTTCCATCATTTAAATATCTCTATTTAGAGGAATTGGTGGCGATTTTTAGCAGAGCTCTGGAGTTCCCATGTGTTCCAGCAGCCATCCACTCAAGGAGTGGTCCCTGGAACAAATCTGGACATGTCCAGTCCTGGTGGCTCCTGATTTCTGTGCTGACTCATTTAAGTTTCAGGTCATTGAGTTGTTAATGAGGCATTGCTCCTGGCACAAGGCTTGAAGTGCCCCAGGGTAGGATTTACCTGAGGAATTTACCTGGGACACCTCCCCTGCCTGCAGGGAGAGCGCTCAGGGCTGCAGCTGGGTTTTTCCACAGTCGGTGTCTTTCAGTATTTTGTGTTTAAAATACTCCTGAGGATCATTTTTAAGCGCAGGAGGTTGCTAAAATTTCAAATATAACATTAATAACCCCTTCTCCAGTTTGCAAATCTGATTTCCCGGTAGTTAAGCATAAGAAGAGCCCAAAAGTTTCAATCCAGGTGCTGGATTGTTTTTCCTGTGGGTGTGTCCAAGAAAAAAGATGATTTTGCACTTAATGGCAGGAATTCCTGCGTTTGCCCATCACAATAAAGCATTAAACCACATTTCCTCCTTCCTTGTTGCCCAGGAGTTGTTTCCTCAGTCACACAGGGCTGGATCTCTGCAGTTCTGATGTGAAATTTGAGAATTAAAAGTGGATTGGTCTCAGGTGATAAATCCATCCTTGTTTTGGTCACCCGGTGTTTCCATGTTGATTTGTTTTGTAGCCAGGCCCATCTGTCTCTGTTTATTTACATTGGAGATTGACAGGGCTTGAACTTAACTTTAACTTGGGGGTTTGGAAGTAAAAAATTCATCCTCACAATTTTTTCCAGAGAAACTTGGACTTCCATAGGGATCTGTTATTCACTTTGAAAATTCTGATTGTCCACTAAGAGAATAACAAAAAAAAACCCCAAAACCAAACAATAATGATATAAAATATTCCATAATATTATTTTATAATACATTATATAACATACAGTGTTTGCATTCTAATATCCAGTACACAATTCTATAATAGAAATAAATATTTAATATTATCAACTCTGCTCTTATAGGACAGATTGATTTCTTTAGCCTGGAGTCCACTTTAATAATCACCATTTTTTGGGGTCAGAGCATATCTTGCAGGATTTTAAGATTCTTTTATTTGTTTAAAATCTTCCCCCTTTAGGATTTGATTAATTCAATTATACTATTGAACAAAACTAAAATCAAATCCACACTGTTAACACTTCTTCTTGGTCGTGTTAATTTTGACCTTGTCAGTTTTTAAGATCTACAATTTATAGAGCCAAATGTGAGTTCCAAGTGCATTTTTTTGTTTGCTTGTTTTAGGTAATTATCATTTTGTTTAAAACCCTTTTCCTCATTACAGACCAAAGTCAGCAAAACAAACGAAGGCCAAAAACCAAAACTTGTGACTATGAAAAGATGAGGTAAGAAATACTGTTTATTTTTAAATTTATTATTATTTTTGAGTTATTTTATATAAGATTAATGCAACTTGGATTTGCTGCTTGCTCGTTGCTAACAGCTTCGTGTCATTTTTTACATCCTTATAAAGTGGATGAAGTCCCCAAAATTCCGGTTTTTCTACACTTATTTCTTGAAAACTGAATATCTTCCATGCCCTGCTGAATTTTAACAAATGAAGGCATAATTTGAGTATTTGCTGTTGAAGCAGAGGGGAAACAGGAGTTTTGTTTCAGTTGTTACATCCAAAGTTACAGCCACAATTGTAACTCACTTTTATCTCATTTCCAAGGCCTCCTCACACCAAATAATTTTTCGAACTCCTTTGACACTCCCTGAGCTGAGGAAAAAGATGAAACCTGGTTTTATAAGTTTTGAATATATTTATATTTATATTTATATTTATATTTATATTTATATTTATTTGCTTGCAGTCCTTTAGTTGTTTGTTGGCTCCATTTTTCACTCAAAGCACAATCAAAAGTCTGATTTTAAGGCCAGGGATGTTCCTGTAGAACAGGAACAGGGATGGTTGTGTTTGGGGACAAAATTCAATTAATTGAGGTAAAACTATTGATTTTATGGGTAATATTTATGCTTCCACCTCAGGGTTTATCAGAGGAAATAATTCATTATTTCCAGTGGCGCTGGGGCCACCACGCTCCAGAGATTTTTGGTTGTGTTTAGGATTTAGGGTGCAGCAAAACAGGATTTTGACATGGAAATAGAGAAGTTTCCATTAAAGACAATTTTTCCAAGGCAGATTTCTGGTGCAGAAGAGCCCAAACCTTCAGGAAATCTGATTATTCCCAGTCCTAAATCTTAAGTGTGACCACAGCCCCAAATTTCTTTTAATCACTATTTATTTCAGTACAATCCTGTTGTTTTCCCATCATTTTTTGAGTACCAGTGTAGGTAGAAAAATTGAAATTTTACCACAGGAGAGGGCATTTCACTGAATTATCAGTGGCTTCCTTTTCCTTTCACTTCAAGGAGGGGGAATATTTTCATTTACCATGGACCAAATCCTCTTTAAAGGAGCAGAACCAGCTCCAGAATCGCTTCTCTGCTGGGAGGAATTGCTCAGACCTATGAAAACCACAGTTTATTGAAAATAAACTGAGATTTAAAGCACATTTTCAACCCCTTGGTGCCCCTGTCCTGTTTTTTGTAGGGATCATGTGGATTTGAAGAGGGAGTCTAAAGCCATGGAGGATAAAAGTTTCTGTACTGGGCCACAGGTAATGGAAATTCGGCCTTAAATTGGAAATTCTTTGTAATTTTATAGGAGAATTGCACAAAATCTTGGTTAATCCCAAAATTTAACGCGTGGCTTTGATCAGAGGTGGAAATTCTGTGGTTACACTGATTTATTCTGTCCTTTTCTTCTGGTTTCTCTTTCTTTTCCTGCTGTAAAACCTGGCTGGGATCATTCAGGGATTTGAAAAGCCCTTCCCAAATTTCTGCCTAAATGTTTTCCAGTGTTGGATACATTTGGAAATAACCAATTTTGTGGTATTTTGTGGCTGTTGGAAATGCTATAAAATTCATACATTGAGGGAAAATTCTCCTTCTCTGGCCTTAGCACCAATAAATTCCTGAAGGAAATCATGGGAATGCACATAATTAATTATTTCATCCCTGTTAATTGGGGGATGTAGATACCAAAAATCTCTGTCCTGATCAAATACCTCACAGGACAAAACTGAATTTAGGAGAAAGTGCAGGTTCTACCTGCACTGAGAGCCCTTATTTCCTCTAAAATACCTCTGTTTGTTTTGCTAATTTATTGCTGGAGTTGAAAGGAATATTTTCATTAATTTAATCTGCTTTATATGTCATGTACCTTAACATTAATATAATTTATTCTATTCTGTAACTGCATGGGACAGCATTAACCCAGGAGTCTTAGGAAATTAAAACAAATCTTCATTATTTATTATTAGTTTCATTATTCATTTATTAGTTTCCCCTGCTGGAAATTCCTGCAGATTTCAGGAAGTATCAATAGTGAAAACAAAATACAATTTTAACATCACATAATAACAAATAACAGAGTAAAATAATGGACCCTGAAGCCTTCCCAGATGTTCCAAAAACATTTGGATACAAAAAATGAGGAAAAGCAGAAATCTGGGTTGTGATTCTGGGTTTGTTTGTTTGTTTTTTTATGTGGAAGAAGAATGAAAATGATGCTTGAACTAAAATTGCAGCTTTCTGGAGAGAAATTTAGAATAAAAATGAAGTTTTTAAGTGATCAGCAGCTCCATGAAAATCCTGTGCAAGAGTTTTATAGAAATGCACCTCCTTTGCTGCTGGAGAAGTGAAACTGGGGAGAAACAATTCAGGAGGACACAGAATTTCCACTTGGCTGCTGCAGAAGTATTCTAGCAAATATTTGTTTTCCAAAGGAAGTATTTTGTTTGCTTTTGAAAGAAAAAAAAAAAAAAAGGGAAAAAAAAGAAGAAAAAAAAAGTAGTTTTCTTTTGAATTTACTGTCTTTTAAACATTCCAGGTGGATTTCAGTCCAGATGTGAAATCCCTCGAGCTGGAGGGTTCTGGAACCTTGCTGGACAGGGATAAACCCGTTCTATTACCCCTGCTGAGAGCCTTGAATACTCCAGAATTTGTGGTAAACTCTGAGAAATAACCTGCTTTTTTCCCCCAGAAATTCAAATTTATACATTCAACGCCCTGTTCCACTCCTTCCTTCCCCCAGAACAATCCTGATTTTTGTGCTGGCTGCAAATCGTGAGAAGAGGGTGGAAAAACAACCCAGCAGCAGCACAGGATGTGTTTTGGGTGCAGTGTAAAAATATTTGGAGGTGGAGTGGAGAAAACATTTACCAAAATATTATTATTTATTTAAGAAAAAAACTAAAAAATTATAAAAAAAAATTTAAAAATTTTAAAAAAAAGGAAAATTCCGTTTTCTTTTGGATTGCCTGACTTTGCCTGCACATTCCAGGTGGATTTCAACTCTCTGCCAGAGGATGTGAAGTCCCTGGCTCGGGATGGCTGCAGAGCCCTGCTGGAGCAGCAGTGCCACAGAGCTGAAGGAGCCTTTTCCCAGCTCCTCAGCATCCTCTACACCTCAGGATTTTGGGTAAAATCAGCAAAATCCCCTCCTCTGTGGCAGTGCTGGAGGTTTCTGCCTCCACCACCCTGTGCCACTCCTCCCTTCCCTCAAAATAATCTTTTAGTTTATTAAAATTTTATATTTATTTTATTTTGTTGAAAATTTTTTTAAAAAATTAAATTTCAATTTAAAAATTGAAATTTAAAAACTTAAATTTCAATTAAAATTTCATTTATCAAATATTTTATTGAATTGTTGGCTGCAGAGCCAAATATTTTGGGAAATATTCCAAACTAAGATTTTTAGAAGAATAATACCAAATATTTGGATCAAATATTGGGGGTTTTTAATAAAAACACCTTTGTTGTTTGGACTTGATGATCTTAAAGGTCTTTTCTGTGGTTGTCAGATGGACCTTGATTGATAAGAAGGGTAAAAAGGATTTTGATGGCAAATTCTGTGAAATTTGGTGTCTGTGTAGCCTTACCCAATCAGCCACTGACCCAAAAGTTGAGATTTAATTCTCTTCATTAATTTCCAGTATTTTTGCCATGTTTTTTGTTGTGCTGTGACAATGATTTTACTCTTTTTTTTTTGTTTTTTTTTTTGCAGTCTGTGAATATTCTTAATATTAATTATGTTATACTCCTCTATGGACATGCCACTGCACTCCTGGGATTGGGACATCCTGAGGTAGGATATGAATTTATTTGTATTTTTATTTATTGATCTGTTTATTTTTATTTATTTTATATGTAAATACTGCTTTAATTCCAGTTTCCAGCTCAGGCAGTTTCCCACCCACTTTTTGTATCTTCCCAACTGCAAGGATGGGGAGGGGAAGAAAGAAACCTCAGGACACATTTTGGAATTCTACACTTAAATATCTGAATCCTTGGTGATTTTGGATGAAACAGGCTATAAAATAAAATTTCTTTGTGAGCCTTCAAATGAGCAGCTAAGTACCAAAAAATGACAGTCAATAATTTTTATTTCTGCTCTTAAAACAAGAGCCAGGAATTGCTTTGGGTTGCGAAAAATGCAAAAGCAGAACTGGGGGTTGGGGTTTTTTTTGGGTGTTTCTTCCTGCAGTGTAAATATTCAGTGTCCTACAATGAATTTCAAAATAGCTGAGCTCAGTCATTTCACTCCTTTATGTTACAGAAAGTCCCTGTTTACAGAATAAATTGGGTATTTTTTAAAGAAGAAAGGGAAGTTTTGCCTGTGATTACAGGGGTGTTTAATTCCATTTACTGTTCCTAAGACTGATGAAGGAACAGGGCACACTGACCCACTCTAAAGGAGGAAAAATCCCAGGAAGAGTGGAAATATTCTGGCAAAACTCCATGTATTTGTGTCTCACGTTTCTTTTGAAGGCATTGGCAAAGGCTGAAGATCAGTTTAAGAAAATAATTGAGGAATATCCAGAAGAAAGTTGTTTTTGTTTGGCACACTATGGAATTGGAAGGGTTTACCTCAGGCAAAACAGGTTGGTCTGATGGAAAATTTCAGGGTTTGTTGGGAAAAATCTTTTTATTTGAGGAACTGTGCTTGGTGGAGCTTTAATTTTTCAGTGTTAATCATTAAATTCATCCATCAGGTGTGTTTAATACAATGGATTGAATTCAATGGATTTACAATACAATTATTACAAATTACAATTTATAATGCAGTGATTTAATACAAGTGGAAGTTTGTTCCTGCTGAAGGGAGCAGAATTGAGGGAATGTTTGGGATTCAAGGATCACGGCCCTGTAGTGAGGGAGAGCTCAGAGGAAAAGAACAAAACCTCTTTGTTCTGGGGGAATAAAATGCATCCTAAAGAAATTTGAGTTTATCTCATCCCTGGGGAGCTGGAGAGTGACCTTGGACTGAGATAAGGCTCCAGTGAGTCAGAAATTCCCTGGAGCAGATAAAACAGGGAATTTTCCCGAGCTGGCACATCCCAGAGGCACAGGGGGAGCCCAAAATGCAGGGACAGGACAAGAAACAATCTGGAATCCTGGCTGAGGTAGGGGGAGGAGCTATGGGGAGCTCGTGGACGGATTTTGGGGTACCCCCTGGTGCTCTGTGGGATCAAAATCCCCCTAAAGGCTCATGGTGGGGCTGGCTGGGAGCTCCTTTTCCAGCTGTGATCCTGCTCTTGTGTGGGAGAGGGGAGAAATTCCATGGAAAAGCTCCAGGGTGGAGGTAAAGACAAGGAAACCACTCCCTAATCACTCACAGGGAACGCTCAACATGAGGAAAAACAACTTTATTGTCCATTAAAATAACACTGGAGAGTGGGAGACAAAGCAAAACAGCTAAAATCACCTTTCTCCTGCCCTCCTTTTATCCCAGGCTGGAATTCACTCCCTCATTCCCAACACTGCTCCCTCTGAGCTGCCCACAGGGATGGGGAAGGGGGGAAACTTTTCCCCCTGTTCCTCACAGGGAGAAAAAGGAGTTTTTGTGCAGGGTGTTGGGTGCTTTTATCCCGGTTTTCCTGGAGGTGAAGGTGCCTTGCACAGCTCTGGCCGGGCTGGGGGTGTTGGCTCCGGCTGGAATTGGGGCTCTCCCATTCCTCAGGGATTCCCCAGCTCCCTGCAATGCCAAAACTATGCCAAAATATGCCAAAATAATGCCAAAATATGCCAAAATAATGCCAGAACAATGCCAAATAAAGAGGTTTTACTACCAAACCTTCTCCCCTCCTCCTGTGGGATGGTTGGAAGCATCAGTCACCTCTGTTTGCTCCTGGCAGGATGAAATGAGTGGGGGAAGTTTTAGGAAGTTCCTCCCAGGTGAGATGAGTTTGTTTTTTTCCTGTTCCAAACTCCAGGTTTGCTCATGCCCTCAGCCAGTTCCTGAGGTCAAAGCTGATGGTTGATTTCAAGATTGTTCCTGGAGTTTTGACCTGGCCAGGAACAACCCAGGTCATCGAGGAATCACGAATAGAGAATTTACAGGTATTTCACAGAGAATTTACAGGTATTTCACAGAGAATGTACAGGTACTTCATAGAGAATTTACAGGTATTTCACAGAGAATTTACAGGTATTTCATAGAGAATTTACAGGTATTTCACAGAGAATTTACAGGTACTTCATAGAGAATTTACAGGTATTTCACAGAGAATGTACAGGTATTTCACAGAGAATTTACAGATATTCCACAAAGATTTTACAGAGAATTTACAGGTATCTCACAGAGAATGTACAGGTATTTCACAGAGAATTTACAAGTATTCCACAGAGATTTCATAGAGAATTTACAGGTATTTCACAGAGAATTTAGAGGTATTTCATAGAGAATTTACAGGTATATTTCAGAGATCTCACAGAGGATTTACTGGTATCTCACAGAGAATTTTCAGGTATTTCACAGAGAATTTGCAGAGGATTTACAGGTATATTTTAGAGATTTCACAGGGAATTTACAGGTCTCTCACAGGGAATTTATAGGTATATTTCAGAGATCTCAGAGAGGATTTACAGGTGTTTTTTTACAGAAAGAACCCGAGCAGAGACTTCTCCTGCTGTCCCTGCCAGGCTCCAGGGGCTCTGTGGGAAGCAGCAGGGCAGGAGCTGTGGCAGTTTTCCTCCAGTTTTTCAGTTTTCCTCCTTCCACACAGTGGGAATTGTGCAGTTTCCACAGGCCACTGGGTTTGGGAACAAGCATTGTGTGAGCTCACCAGCTGTGGCCATTTGTCATGGTTCATTTCTGTCATTTGTCACTTTTTTCCATTTATCTTTAATTATTATTATTATTATTATTGATAATTTTGTTTATAATTTTGTCATTTATCATTTTTGTAATTTATCTTTTTCATTTCTCATTTTTTTATCTATAATTTTTTCATTTATCACTTCTTTCATTTATCTTTTTTTATTTATAGTATTTTTCATTTATCATTTTCTTCATTTATCATTTTTGTCATTTATCATTTTTTCATTCATAATTTTTTTCTTTTATCATTTTTTCATTTATCTTTTTTTTAATTTCTCATTGTTTTAATTTATATTTTTTCTCTTTTTTCCAGTTCTCTTTTTAATTTATCATTTTTGTTATTTATCATTTTTAATTATAATTTTTAAATAATTTAAAAATTTTTTTTATTTATTTTTTTTATTCATTTTTTTGTTTTTTGTTTTTTTCTTCATTTATATTTTTTCATTTACCTTTTTTGTTACTTATAATTTTTCTAATTTATAATTTTTTTTTCCTTTATCATTTTTTTCATTTATAATTTTTTTTGCTTTATCCTCTTTTCATTCTTCATCTATCAGAGGCATCCAGACAGGGCCTGGGTGTGAGACTCAAGGTGGGGATGTGTCACAGCTCGGATTTTGGAGCTCTTTTCCAGCCCCAGATGATTTTGGGATAATGTTTGATTCCCTTCCTTGAACGCTCCCAAACTTCCAGGTGTCAACACACAAAAAAATTCTGGGGAGAACTGGTTAAAAACTCTGAACTGGCTAAAAACCAGGAAGTTGAATTTAAAACTGAAATAGGTGACTTTTCTATCCAGTTCCTGGATAAAACCTTGGGATTTACATGGTAAAATTCCCTGTTTGACTGGAAAAATCTGGCACCAGGAGCTGCTCTGCACATTTTTGGCACAGCAGAACTGGGAAGGTTTTTCACTTGGCCAAACTCCCCAGAACTGCAGAGTTTGTGGTAGAAGTGGCAATTCTGAGCTTTTTCCTCCCAAAAATCAGCCCCAGGATTTCTCCCAGGCAGCCTGGATTTGCTCTGGGAGCTCTGGATAATGCTGATATCTGCCAGGCTTTATCAAGGCTCTGCTCTGGATCATGTTTTATTAGTCTGGGCTCAATTCCAGCCCTGCCCTGATCTCACATGGAGCTGCTCTTTTCCTCAGAAATTATCCTGGGAGACCTCCCTGCTTCCCCAGGGCCAGGTCTGAGCTTCATCCTTAGCTCAGATCCCAGGTAAAACACTCTGGAAATCTCTGGGAATCTTCAGAAATGACCCAAAAAACTCCATTTTTGCCCTATAATCTGTTTAATCATGTGGACAATGATAAATCCCTGTGGAATGGGTCAGGATGTGGGACACTGGCTCAGGATAAACCTGCATTTTTCTGTGTGTATGAGCACTCAGCTGCCAGCACTTGGAGCAATCCCTGGAATATTTTGGCCATAAAAGGCCAATCTTCCCTGGCTTTCACTGGAAAAGAGTTTGGATTTTTTTGGGGGGGGGTTAGTCACTGCTTTTCCAAGAGGGATGTGCTTCAGTGCAGTCCCCAGGAGTTTGTGAGTAGAAGTTGAAATCTTTTCCTGGTTTCTGTGCAGTTTGTCTCTGATAATTCTGTGTTTTCCAGATGGCTTTAAGGAATTGTATCGAGGAATGTAAATTCCCTCCAGACCCAGATGCTATTTGTCGATATCAGCAGTGCCATGGCTACTCCAAAATCCAAATATATTTTACAGACCCAGATTTTAAGGTAAATTTTCAGCTGAGAAAGGTTGGGGAAGTAAAACTTGACGTATTTCCTGTCCCTTTTTATATGATCTGCTAATGTCAGCGCTGCTTTTCCTTGTGGTTTGATTTCAAGGTGTTCAATTGTTGCCATTCCTCATTTTTAGGGTTTTATACGTATTATTTGCTGTCAGCAGTGCAGGGTGGAGTTCCACATCGGCTGCTGGAAAAAGCTGAAAACAACAAACTACAGTGATAAAAATGATAAGGTGAGGCCTTTGCCAGACCCAAATTTTTATTTTTTTTAAGATCATTGCATTGAGATATGTAAAGGAATTCCCCAAAATTCAGCTGCCAGGATAAAATGAAGGGAAATCAGGAGCTCCTAAAAGCACTCTGGAAAGTTGACTTTGGGTGTGAAGTTGGAGGAGGGAGAAAAAGAATAAAAGATGCCACAAATTTTCCATGATTTTTGATTTTCATCCCTTCCCAAGTCAGCTCTCAGTCAGCATCCAGAAGAGTTTAGGATTGTGCTTCCTTTGGTCACCTCAAATGAAGAAATTAATTTGTGTCAGGACATAAATGGTGTGTGGATTTAAATGCCATTGTTGTATGTGTGTGTGTGTGTCCTTTTTTCCTGCAGGATTTCCTTAAGGAAATGTGTTTTACTCCTGATTGTAAAGGCCTTATTTCAAAAATAGCTATTTTCAGTTCTACTGGGCTGGTAAAATGTGAAGTAAGTATGGTCATGTTTTATATGAAATTAATAAGAATATTAAGGGGGATAAAGATGAGAATGTAACTGAAAAAAAAATAAAAATTCTGCTGCCTTAACTGCAGAATGTGAGGATTATTTAGGAACATTAATTTCCTGTTCTAGTGGAGCAAGAATTGCCTTTTGGTGTTGGTCAGATTGTCATGGATGGGGGCTGGAATTCACTAAATTCAATAATCCCTCAGGAAAAACTCCCCAGAGCCACAGGAGGGTGGAGAATTCTCCCCAGATAACAAATTCTCCCCAGGGCAACATTGAGCAGAAATGATTGTGGGGTTTGTTGTGTCATAAACCAAATCTAATTCCTGTCCTATCCCTTATTTTGGTAGTTTGAACAAAAAATCCCAAAACCCAAGGAACCACCAAGGGCCTGTATAAAACAGAAATGTTCAAGGTAAGATTTGTCCTGTTTGAATGGATTTGAGAGCAGAACAGGAGGGGTTTTCATGCCTTTTTACCAATATTTTGGAAAGTTATCCTTGCCCTTTGCCTGATAAACCAAAAAAAATCTGGTAAAATCCATTATAATCTAATGGAAAAAGCCTTTAAATTGTTCCACAAAATTTATTTTGTGTGAATGTTTGGAAAGTGTAAATAAAAAATGTATTTTATGCTGCTGCTGTAATTATTGATACCCAGACCTTTGACATAACTGAGTTTGCAGTTTTTTGGTCAATTAACCTTTAAATAATGAGAAATCAAGCTGAGAGGACAGACAAAACAAGATTTTTAAAAAGGAAAGGAATAAAATGTTAATATTTGGTTGAAAATACTGAGTTATAAATTAAGAGTGTTGAAGCCAATCCTAATTTAGACATCTTTAATGGGAGTAAAAGTTGTTGCATCTTGAGGACATTGATATTTTTATGAAGTTTTGTGGTCTCTGCTTGATCTTTTTATGAAGTTTTGTGGTCTCTGCTTCTAAATGAAGACCACTTTCACGCTGTTTGTACTTTTCAGTGTGATATTTTCACCTCAATTAATGTTTGGCTGGCTGCTGAATTGCTTCTTGCAGTCTTAGGAAGATAAAAATGAAGCAAGAAAAAAAACTGTGGCGAAAACGAGCGCGAGAAGAGGCCTGGAATTCTGCCATGAAAAAAGCTGAGGAAAAGCAGGATGGAAATGATGAATCCCAGTACAGTCAGCACAGAGGTGAGTGGAAATTGGGATTTTGGGGCTGATTTCTCCATGGAAAGGAGGGTGGGCACTGGAATGGGAGCTTTGCAGTTCCCATCCCTGGGGGTGCCCCAAGGAAGGAGGTGGCACTCAGAGCTCTGGGCTGGGGACAAGGTGGGGACTAAAGTTTGGGTTTGATGATCCTGGAGGACTTTTCCAAGCTCAGTTATCCTGGGATTCTGTGACTCTGAGTTATCACAAAGCAATGGAATCAGCATTTTGAATATCCTAATCCTAACACTGGACATCACCCCTCTGTGAAAAAGTTGCATTTTTACTTAAGACAAATTTTATTTCACTTCTGTTTTTATTGTCCAAACAGCTGGGGGGTGTTACTGTGTGGTTTAATTACTGTGTGGTTTAATTACTGTGTGGTTTAATTCCTTGTAGAAATCTTGGACTTTTCCTTGGCTGTTTTTTGCAGAATCAGCTGGAGAGGGGAAAAGCTCCAATTCTGAGTGAACCCATTGAAAAAGGATTTCAGGAAAAGCACCTTGAGACAGTGTTAGGGAAAAGAAAAAATCTCATATAAAGACAGACTGATCTCCTCCCTGTACTTGAAAAGTACATTTCAGATGATGGGGAAAAATAAAAATATTTCAGTCTGTGACTTTGTAGGCATTTAAAACTTCAGTTTTTGCCTTGCTGGATGTTGGCTGCTCCACATTCCAGAGCTGGGAACTTCCCCTGCAGCTTCTCAGGGCAAAGGAAAAGGGAAGATGTTGGAAGATTTATTTTTTTGTTTGTATTATCAATTTGACCTCTAATTAATTTATGATTTACTAGGATTCCCTGTTAAATACTCTGGGTGTATTTTTTTTTTAATTCCATGTTTGGGGTTCTCTGGGTGCCTGTTCCCTGCTATGGCATATCCTGAAAATTTGGGAGATTTTGGCTCCCCTGTGGATTTGTAAAATCACTTTCATTTATTTCCTGGTTTTTGGTTTCTTTTTTAATATTTGGTTTTTCCTTTCCTTTGGCTCATCTTCAGTTGTGATCCTTGGAGCCACTGCAGGTCACTGTGACTTTATCCTAAAATCTGGGCAAGATGTTTGTTTCTTTAAACAAAAATTTAAATCTGTGTTGGATCAAATTCCTAATGCTCAGGATGTATGGAAAAAATAATGATTTAAATCCTGTAATTTTCAGTGTAAAACAAATAATTAGCAACACCACTTAATCCAAATTATCTGTGCTTTTAAGTTGGTTTCAGTTGTGGTAAGGAGATGAAATCTTGCTCATTTTGTGCTTTTTTTTAATGCCATAATTTTAATTTTCCAGGTTATGGCCAGGAATTATACGCTGGGGACCAGGTCCTGCAGCACATCCGGCGGAATTCCGAGCAGATCAAAGCCGCCGTCCCTGACGCTGCCAAATTATTAAAGGAATTATTGGTGTGGGGAGTGATCAGAGAGGAGGATTTCACCTCTTATTCCCAAATCAGTGGCACTTCCGAGGAAGTGCTGGAGCAGCTGCTCAGCTCCTTAATCCAGCAGAAATGCCGGGTGCAGAGCAGGGGCTTCCTGCACGTGCTGAGCCAGCTGGGAGAGGTGGATCCCAAAGTGCACAAGTGGCTGCAGCACCTGGATAACCTGGGTGGGTTCTGCCAGAGCAAATGGAGAAAATCCCTATTTTCCACTTTTTTCTTCATTTTAAACACAACCTGGGTGAGCCAGGAGCTCTGCAGGGCTTTGGCTCATGCAGGAAAGAGAAATTGGAACTGTTTTTAAATTGTCTTAAAATTCCAGAATGGGGTTAAGTGCTGATATTTGTGACAATAATCTGGTTTTGGAGCATAAATAATGGCGGGGTTTTGCCATTAGACTTGGAAATCATTTCATGTTGGTGCTCTGCTGTGTCCTGTTGGATTTATAATTGGAAAAAAAAAGTGGAATTTTGGGGTTTGGGGTTCTTCATTTTACTCAATCACATCCATATCCTTCAAAGAATTCATAGGTCCAAATCTTGTTGTTATTATTATATTACTGTTATTATTATTGTAATTATTACTATATTATAATAATATATTATAATTATAGTGTATTAGTATAATAATATAATTAATATAGTATTTTAATTAATATTAATTCATTTAATATATTATTATAATAATTATAATTGGTGAGAGTAGGATTTTTATCAGCCCCATTCCCTATTATTTATTTATTCTAATAATATTATATATTATTATATAATGTTAAATAAATATTAAATAATATTGAATTACCTACAATAATAGTTACATCATATTATATACTATTATGTAATATCATGTAATACCATATCATATAATATCATATCATTATATCATATTTTGTTATATAATACCATATTTTTATCATTTCCAAGGCACATAAGCTCTCACATCATCTGTACATTTAATTTCTAGACCAAACCTCTTCCCCTTCAAAGAGGAATATCACATTTTAAGCGCTAAAAATTTCAAGCTGGAATGAAATAATTGGGATTTTTCCATCTTTTTCAGGTCTGACAGCTACAAAAAACTTTCTCCTTCAATATGGGCAAGTTCTGCAAGAGCTTGACTTTTCTATTTTAATCCCACTGTGGAACCAGAAATATGGCAGTAAATTTGATTATGTGTCAGCTGATGGTGAAAAGCAAGAAATTTGTGATTATTTCCTCACCCCTCCCCTAGAGAAATCCCGTTGTTTTATGTGGCTTTTAGAAGAAAACAGAGAATATTTTCCAGACCTCCATCAAGCTCTAGATGAATTCTTCGATAAAATGGGTGAGTAGGCAAAAGGATCAAACATTTCCCATAAAAAATCCATTTTTATTGTGTGGTTTTTAACATTAAAGTTCTGCAGCTGCACTTTTGGAGCTGCTTTGGTGGTGTTGGATAAAGGATTAGGGGAGTAATTCCTGTGATTTCACAGTAAAATTGTAAAATAAATACAATATTATTATTTCCATCAATCACCATGACTTTTATCCTCTCAACAGATGACCCAACTATTATATTAAAGAAGCAGGGAAATGAAAATTTATCAGTAAGTGAATTTAATTTCTGTTTGGCCTCAGCTCAGAAAGAACTTTTTGCTATTTCAGAAAAGGAAATATTTTGCAGCCTCGTCCTTCAGACTTATTGGAGGTTTAATATCTTGTTTTAGCTCTCTTTTCTTAAATTATTTGATACTTGAAATATTTTTAAATAATTTTTAAGTGGGCCTGATTCTGAATCATTTTCTGGCTGGTGTCATCATTAAAATCCATCCCAATTGGCAGAAATAGATGTTGTATTTCATTTAATTCTGTGTTTGAGGGTCTCTCATTTGAAGTTCTTGTCTGCAGTTAAATTTATCTTTACAAATCCAGGATTTACTTCAGAATTTGATTCAGAATAAAGCTTTAGAGTTAATTAATGTATATACTAATAAAATGCAGAATTTTACATGTGAACATTAATAAAATGAAGAATTTTAAGTGTACATGTAACAAAATGCAGTTTTTAATGTATGCATTATTAAAATGCAGAATTCTTAATGTACACGTTAATAAAATGCAGAATTCTTAATGTGCACATTAATAAATGCAGAATTTTTAGTCTGTATATTAATAAAATGAGAATTTTTAAATGTACACTAATAAAATGCAGAATTTTTCACTTACATGTTAATGACATGCAGTTTTTTTGAGTGCACACATTCATGAAATGCAGAATTTTTTTGATTTTTCATTTCATGAATTGGCAAAATCCAAGAATGCAATTAAAACCAGCACAATAAAACTGCTTTGATTTGAGTGTTACAGCCTAAAATAACCTGTAATTATTCTGTTCATGTATAATCCCTATCCTTTTAAAGAATTAATTCAAATTTCACTTCATTCATCTCTGTCTTTCTTGGAAAACTGAGGCAACATTTGCCAATCCTGTTGTATTTTCTGTTTCAGAATAATGAATTCAAAGTTAAAAACAAAAACAGGAAGAAGAATTGGAAAGATTCAAAGGTCAGTACCTCTGGAAGCTGCTAAAGTAGATACCACTCATTTCCTACTAAAAACCCACCTAAAAATTGGGATTTCTTTAGAATTTCTGGCATTCTGATGGATAGGAGTTGTTTTTTAAATACTTTGAGGAGACTTCTTACTTTTCCTGAAGTAAAATTAAGCTGTGAAGACTCAAACTAAAATAGTTCTGTTAAAATTTATCAGTATAAAAGCTATTTTTAAATTTATTTATGACTAACTTTGGCTCTGACTGGAGGTACCTTCCACTGGCTTAATTCTGAATTATTGTGATTTTAATTTTCCATGTGGGAGGATGGGAGTTAAGTGTAAAAATACCATTTTGTGTCCAGGAATGTTATTCAAATGAACATGAAGACAACTAAAAAATCTGTAGTGGTGTAGGCAATAATAACCAGAGTCACATGTGGAATTAGGGATAACTCCTGCTTGTGGTAAATTTGTTACAGCCTCAAATTTAAAAGAAATTTTGATTGAATTTTGATGGAATTGTTAAAAAAAGAGGCATTTGGGGCTGAATATCCCAGTTTCTTTTTCCCAAATAAGTTCTGAAGAAGAAATTAATGACTTTAAATTAAGAATTTTCTTGCTGTGGCTTAGCACTGATAATTTCACCTGGAAGTTTTGCAGTTCATAATGAACATGATGAATTTAAAGAACAAAATTCAGTGTAAATAAGTTACTCCTGGCCTTTGCAGTGGATTATTTTACATGAGCTTGAGGTAAAAGTTGTAAAAATCTGTTTTCAATTAGTCTATTTTAGTATTATCCAGTGGAGTTAGTACAGCACCGCGAGAAGAAGAGAAGATATTTATAGAAGAAAATAATTTGTGAGTATTTGATTCTGTTTTTATTGCCCAAACTCCAAATTGCTGGAGAAGAATCCCTTAAAAATACCAAGGCTGGGTTAACTTTATTTATTTTTATTTTTTTTCTGATTTTTAAGGTACAGAGATTTTTCAGATGAACCCTTTGTAATCCCAGAATATCTCCAGGAGCAACTGGAGGAATTCGAAGCTCTTTATAATGTTTCAAATAGTAACAATTATCACATGAATAATAATAATAATCCAGATCCAATCTGTGAAAATTTATATGAGTGAGTATAAATTTCTGTGCTCAGCAGCTTCAGGAGAGGTTGATTTTCCTTCATAATTTTAATAATTTTTTGGATTAATTGGAATTCTGGTGTGTGTGTGTAGCATGTCCATGAAGGAATGGATTAAATGTTTGTGAAATACATTAAAAAATTCTAATTAATTGTAACAACTCTCTTTTTTTTTTTAAAGTTATTTTTCTCAAATTTTGGAAGAACATGGCCCTCTGGAAATTAATAATAAATTACTGGTTGGGGAGTATGAAAATTTCCCTGAGGAAACTCGGAAGGTGGTGGAAGATGAAGGTGGCCTGGAGTTCTTCCTGCTGAAATCCCTTCGTTTCATTATAGTGGATAATCTGATTGGATTAAGGAAGCACTCAGTCCTTTTTGAAGGAAATCCAAGCAGAAACGAGACTGGGAATAAAGAGGAAAATGATAAATCTGGGGAATTCCGAGAGAACTCTTCCCACAGCAAGCTGCCATTGAATCCCTATGCCCAGGAATTCAAGCCTCTGTCGTACCCTTTGAAACCCTCTTTATCAGCAACTCCTGATTTAACAGATTATGAGACTGCACAATATTTACCCTGCTCCATCCTTGCTTCCCTCACACCTGGGAATCCTCTGGAAAACAAAGATGTTGATTCCGTGGAAAACAAGGAGCTGCTTCCGGGTGTTTTACTGGAGAGCTTCGGGCCTGCGGGCCCGGCTGTGTTTTTGCCTCAGAGCTCGTGGGGTTATCAATATGGAATATTGCCCCTGCCTGCTGCCCTGGCACAGCCTGTGTTGGTTTATGCTGATCCTGGAGCTCATTTGGATCATTGGGAATCAGCAAATCCATGTGGAAAATACAGCCCTGAGGGTTCCCTGCCAGCTGAAGTCCAGGAGTGCAAAAAAGGCCTTCAGGGCCGGTTGAAGACCTCGGATGAGGAGGATTCTGCTTTTCCAAATGGTTCAGATGAAGCTAAAGGTGGTAAATGTGTTAAAAAGGAAAAAGAAAGGATGAAGAGCAATCCTCACACAAGGATGATGGCTGTTCAGGTAAGGAGTGGGAAGGGAACAATGCTGGAGAGAGCCCAGAGGAGGCTCCAGGATGAGCAGAGGGATGGAGCAGCTCTGCTGGCAGGAAAGGCTGGCCCAGCTGCCATTGTTCAGCCTGGCCAGGAGAAGCTTTGGGCTGAGCTCAGGGTGGCCTTGCAGGGCCTGAAGGAGCCCCAGGAAAGCTGGAGAGAGACAATTGCCAAGGGCTGCAGGGCCAGGAGCCAGGGAATGGCTGCCAGTGGCAGAGGGCAGGGCTGGATCTTGGGATCTTGGGCAGGAATTGTTCCCTGGCAGGGTGGGCAGGGGCTGGGATGGAATTGCCAGAGCAGCTGGGGCTGCCCCTGGATCCCTGGCAGTGCCCAAGGCCAGGCTGGACATTGGGAGCTCCTGGGACAGTGGGAGGTGTCCCTGACATGGCTGGGGTGGATGGGATGATCCTTAAAATCCCTCCTATCCCAAACCATTCCATGATTCCTGAGAACTTCCAGTTAAAGTTGCTGCCACTTTCTGTGTTTACTCATTTTTCATTTTAATTCCTCAGAGCTGCCCACTGAATTTTGTTGTACCTGAAGTTTTTGCAGCTCTTTTCCCTGGGTATCCCAGAGGGAAGTGCTACACTTAAGTTTCAGCTTCACTTTAGAGAGGAAGCAAAGTCCTTCTGTGTCGTTATTTTTCCTTTTGTGATGAGTTCAGGGATTTATTTTCACTTCCACAACATTTGAGGATTTGGATTTGTGGAAGAGGCTCAGGGGGGCCCTTCTCACTCTCTACCACTCCCTGACAGAAGGGTGAGACACTTCCTGCAAATCTTAATTGTTCACACGTTTAGAGCACGGCTTTGTTTAAAGACTCACAGAACTCCCTGGAATTGCTTGTGGTCAATGAAATCAGGGAAAGAAACAAAAAAATCCCTTTCAGAAACACCTCCACAATGTTTTCCTACATCATGTATAGGCCTGGATTAGAGTTGGATTTGTAAAACCCTTGGTGAGGTTCAAAAGCTCCAAACCAGAGCAGCTCATTTATGAACTGAGAAGATTTTTAATCAAATCTTAACTTTTTTTGTGCTCCAGGTAAATCAGGAGGTTGCTGATAGGGAAACCAATACTTCCCCTTTCCATCCATTTGAAAATCAACAAGTAAGTTCCCTGCATCCTTGGTTTACATTTCTCATGAAGGAGGTTAAAGGAATGCCCAAAAACTGAATAGTGAAGGAATGAAAGTTCTCTGAAAACAACAGTTTTTAACAGATATTTTGTATTTTGGGTTGTTTGGCTGGTTTTGTGTTCTGTGATGTTCTTGGAAACATCACCCATCCCCACAAGGAGATGATTTTTGAGCTTTGATCTGATATTTGATATTCTGATAGCTTTGTTCTAAGCTATTCAGATGTTGAATATGTTATGAGGTATTTCCTCTCTCAAAACCTGAATTTAAATATTCCATTTGAGCATAGACAGTTCAGAGTGACGTTGATGGCAGGTTTCTGTCTGCACCAGGAGATAAAAGTGTGGAAATGTGGCCTTTACCGTGGGAACAGGTATAAATCAAACTGTTTTTTGTAACTGATTAATTTCCAGGGCGATATTCTCCGCATGGAAAAGGAGCACCAGGTATTGAAAGAACAACTCAGAGAAGCAGAGGAGAAATTTGAGCATTTACAAAGCAAGAGATTGGAGGAAATCAGTGCTTTGGAAGAGCTCTTGAAAAAAAGTATTGAAGAGACCAAGGTAAAGCTTTTCCCCATGGATCAGAGGTTGTGGAATCCCAGGGATCCCTGGAAGTGTCCACAGCCAGGCTGGACAGGGCTTGGAGCAGCCTGGGGTGGTGGGAGGTGTCCTTCCCTCCCAAACCATTCCAGGATTCCCTGATTGATCACAAATATCCTCAGTCTGCTCCAACTCTGATTTGAATTAAACCACAATTTTCAGAAATGAAAGTTTTCTTTCTTTTCTGCCTTCAGGTGTCCCAGAATGAGCTGGATTGGTTCCACCAAGTCTCGGAAACACAAATGAAGAAATGGCAGCAGGAGAAGAAAGAAAATCAAGAGAATTTAAAAGCATTGAAGGGCACAGCTAAAAAACACTCAGACACCAATGAGAGGTATGGCTGTAAATAGATTTACATCCCCTCACTCTGACAGTCTAAGGACTTCAACACTCTTTAAGGAAATTTAATCCTTGGCTGTGAAACCAGCCAGTTTCTCCCAGTGTTAGGCTGAAATATGGACATGGCCACTTTCTTCTTCTGAATTTTTAGGCAAATAACAGGTAAACATCAAAAATAGCTTTTAGATAACTGATGCAACTGATTTAGCAGTAATTCTCCTAATCAGATTTGACAATTCTTACTGTATTTTAATGTCTTCTCTCTGTTTACAGAGCCCAGACTTTGGTCCTTGAATGCCTTTGTTTTATCTTTAGTATTAAGTAGTTTGGGCAAAATCTCTCCTGAAAAATCATCAGCCTGTTTTTATATTAATTACTGCTTCATTAGCAATAAATTTGAATGTATTTAGAACAGAATCCCTGAATAGTTTGGGTTGGGATGGATCTTAAAGACCATTGATTTCCACTCCCTGCCATGAGCAGGGACACCTCCCACTGTCCCAGTGTTAGCACTCAGGAACACAGAATCATGAAGTGATTATATTAATAATGAAATAATTATATGGAGGTGCTTTTATTGAAGAGCTCTGGGTGTCAGGGGTACACAGACCCAAATCTGACCCCCCTTGGTTTTGAGCTGAAGATGTTTTTATTGTTATATAACTTACATATTAATCATTAAACTTGCATTGTTCTATTGTATGCATTGAATTTACCCAAGCATGGAATTCTCGTGATCCCCCTCCAACCCCTAACATTGTTCCTCATGTTCTTTAAAACAATAATTATATCTAATTACATTTAACAGTTAGATCATTTATCATGTACTGACTACACAGGTGCAGTTTCACAAGGCCCAACATTTCCCAGGGCTTCCCAAGCCTGACTTTCTTTCCAACTCCCCGAATTTTCTATGATTTTAAAATCTTTTACTATCACCACCAGGTTGCTCCAACCTGGCCATGGACACTTCCAGGGCTGGGAATTCCATAATTCCTGTGGGATTAAACAGGATCTAAAATCCACAGATTGTCCTGGTGGTTATAGAGGAACATGGTCCATATTTGCCAATAAACTTTTTCTACAACAAGCTTAATGAATTGTTTCATTCCTGTAGGTATTTGAAGACCATTGATGACAAGGAAAAGCAATATAATGCGTGTTTAAATACATTTCTGGAGACCAGGTAAAACTCGGGTTCCTTTCAGCAATATTTACATTTTTCTGCATCACTCTGGGTAAAGGCTTAGAGGAAAATAAGCTCTTTAGCCCATATTTCTTACTCTAAGCTTGCTTTTACTTGCCATGAGTAAATATTAATATTTAGAATAAAGAAAATCATACTCTCATACATTTCTCTTTATTACATGACACTGAGTCTCTCTAAAAATCCTCTAAAAACTTTACATACTGCTCTGCTGTGAATGTTACTCAGGTATTTCATTTCTTTTTCTTCCACAGTAATAAATTTGCTAATGAGAAAGGCAAATTGGAAGAGCTGATAGAAAAGAGTCAAAATGACAGCCAGGAGTGTGAGAAAAGAGCTGTTAAAGCAGAGGTACGAGCAAAAAAAAAGAATCATTAAAAACCTTTTGTTAGAGCTGGGGTTGTGCTGATTGGAGGTGGAGAAATGGTACCAGAGATGTTGATTAAATGTTGGAAGTTCCAAAGGTGGAAATTCCATTTGAAAATTCCTCACTGTAGGAATTGTGTGTGTGCACTTCGTATCCTCAAACTCTTTAAATCTTTATTTAAATCTGGTTTAAGGTTTTATCCTTTTTTTTTTCTTGGTTTTTTTTTAACATGGGGGGGGGTGGTTGGTTGCTTGGTTTGTTGTTTGGGGTTTTTTGTTTGTGGGTTTTTTGGTGTTTTTTTTTGTTTTGTTTTGTTTTGTTTTTTGTTTGGTTTTTGTCTTTTTTTTTTTGTCACAGGTCTCAGTGCTCCAGACCTGGAAGGAAACTGAAACCTGGAAACTCAAAGGCAGCATTGTCAAGGCAGAGGGAAATCTGAGGATGCTGAAGGCACTGAACAGGTACTGGGAATTCCCACCAGGAATTCCACTGCTCCTGCTTGTTAATTATCTACTATATCATATTGTTTTAATATTCTATAATTATATAAAATACAGTTTTTATGTCCTATAGTTACATTCAATATATAATGTTTCTATAAAATATTAAAATATTAATATGAAGGTGCACAGAGTTGGGGGTAAATAATATTGCGCTGAACAAAATTGGGCTGGAAATTGAGACTCATCCTTACCCTTGTGTCTCTTTGAGCTGGGAAAAGCAGATTATCTCTTTAATAATAATAATTCCAGTTCTTCCTGCCCCAGTATCCCTGGAAAAGGGCTGCAGTGTAACTGATTTTTACCTGAAATCCCTTCGAACTTGAACTGGGATTAATTGTTGAAGGAGGAACTGTTGGGACAACACAGCTGGTCTTCAAAATAAAGGGAATGTTGGAGTTTTAACTGTAAATCCTCAATATTCCAGCAGCTCAGCTTCAGCAGCTCCTGTGTTGAAGTCCCAGATTGATTCCTGGGAAATGTTTCTTTCAAATGTCAAGAAACAACTGGAAAAAGTCGAGGTAAAACTTCCATTTCTCTCCACAAGCTTCTCAGTTCAACTTTGGAAATGAAAAGATTAAATAATAAAGTTGCATTTGTTTTTTAAAACACCATAGCTTGTCCTCCAAATGCTGAGGGGAATTTTTTTAATTACAAAAGAAAGAGTTTGGAGTCCAGGTTGGTAATTTATAATTGATACATTCACTTCTTTAAAGGCAAAAATCTGCCTTTTATACACTTGCTTCAAAATTGGGTCCCACTTTAGAGAGTTTATTTTTTTTTTTTGTTGTTGGTGACCTTTAGAAATCCATGGAACTTCTTAAAAAAAAACCCCAACAGGAGACTCTCTGAGAAGTCCAGCTGTAAAATGTGATTTTTAAGGTTTGTAAATGGTTGCTTTTCCTTCTGCAGGCTGAGTATGAAGAAAAAATTGAGCTGGTGAAAAAAGGTGCCCGGGACTGCCTGAGTAAAGTGGAAGTTGTGGATTTTCCTTGTCCTCAGGGATTTGATGTGAGTATCCCACCTTCCACAGCACTTCCAGGCCTTGGAATTTCCCCAGACTGGTGGGAGGTGTCCAGGGAGAACGGGAATGTGCAGCCTCGGACACACCGAGTGCCAGCTGTCCCTGCAGCCAGGGGCTGCTCCAGAGGAAAAGGGGATGGAGATGGAGCTGAAAATGACTCACTGGTGTTTTTGTTGGTTGTAGGGTTCCTGTAGCACCAAAATCCTGGAATTCCAGGATGGGTTTGGGTTGGAAGGGACCTTAAAAATGATCCAGTTCCAACCATGACACCTCCCACTGTCCCAGGTGCTCCCAGCCCCAGTGTCAAACCTGGCCTTGGGAACTTCCAGGGATCCAGGGGCAGCCCCAGCTGCTCTGGGAATTCTATTCCAGGGAACAATTCCTGCCCAAAATCCATCCAGTCCTGCCCTCCTTCAGCTCAGGGCCATTCCCTGTGTCCTGTCACTCCATTCCCTGTCCCAAGTCTGTCTCCAGCTCTCCTGCAGCTTCTTCAGGCACTGAAAGGAGCTCTTTGGAGCCTTCTCCAGGTTGAACAGCCCCAAAATCCATTGGGATAATCCCCAATATGCAGAATCCCAGGATCCCTGAGGCTGGAAAAGCCCTCCCAGCCCATGGAGTCCCAGCTGTAACCTGTCCCCACCTTGTCCCCAGCCCAGAGCCCTGAGTGCCACGTCCAGCCCTTCCTTGGGCACCTCCAGGGATGGGCACTGCAAAGCTCCCTGGGCAGCCCCTGCCAAGGCCTGAGCTCCCTTTCCATGGGGAAACTTTCCCGAAGGAATTCCTGCACCACCGTGTGGCACTGATGGCAAACACCAACCTCAAGCATGTCAGGAAGCAGCCAGGGATTTATGGGAATTTATCTGGAATGAGAACAGCCCCAGAAATCCTGTTCACAGACATTTTCTCATGGCCCAACAGCTCCACCAATGCTTTGCTCAAATCAAAGCAGTTTCTTCTGACCCCTCTGATTCTTGAATTTTTTTTTAAAAATTTTAAATTTTGATCTTTAATTTTTTTTTTTTTCCTTTGTGAAAAATCTTGGTTTATGTTTTTTATTTTTGTTCTGGGTGTAATTTAGATTCAGGGCTCTGGTCTAATATTTGAGATTGTTACTACACTTTCTCTGGGCTTCTTCAAGTTCCACTCCTGTCCTCCTGCATAATTCCCCACTTGTTTTTAGCTCTGTCCTTTCTGTTTATTGACACAGAATATGGAGACAACTTAATCACCACCAATTTACTAGGAAAGAACAACTTTTGTGCCTCTTGTTCTGCATTTGGAATTTATTGTTTCTGCAGTAACACCAGAGTGACCTTTTAGAAGAGAAATAATGCTGAGGTCAAACAACTGCCCTGATGTAAGGGAGTTTTTAAGATAAACTGGTGTCACCTTTGAGATCCTGGGCACAACCAGACCTGTCCCAGTTCACCCTGCAAACGCTCCAGAGCTCAGCTGTATTTGTTTTAATGACTTTTCCTGTGAAATGTGTTTGTTTCCTAGACAATACCAGGCAGACCTCTCATGTGTGACTCTGCCATCATCACCTATTCCTCGGCATCTGCACATCCCAGTGCCCTTCCTGGATTTTCCAGTTCTGATGGAAAAGCTCCAGCCCAGCCTCCACTCCCAGCACAGCCCGGAGCTAAGCCAGCACCTGCCACCTCTGAGGCTTCTTCTGCAGCTGGGAAAACACATCCCAAAGCTCCAGAGGCTCCACATTCCAATAAACCCTCCCCATCCTGCCCACCAGGGGTTTCTGGGAGTAACACCCAGCATGTCCAGCCCAACCAAGTTCCCTCAGCTCTGCAACCGAGGCCTTCTGGAATTCCAAACAACAAAAAGCTTCCAGAAGGAATTGAAAATATTCTTTCCCAGCTCCAGAGTATATTCCCAAACTACAGCAGGTACTGGATTGAAGGAGTGCTGTGAAACAAGGTCTGAACAGCCAGGGGTCAAGTGCAAAAATTATTTTGTTCTGCTGCCAAGGGGGAATGGGTTTAAACTGCCAGAGGGCAGGGCTGGATCTTGGGATCTTGGGCAGGAATTGTTCCCTGGCAGGGTGGGCAGGGGCTGGGATGGAATTGCCAGAGCAGCTGGGGCTGCCCCTGGATCCCTGGCAGTGCCCAAGGCCAGGCTGGACATTGGGAGCTCCTGGGACAGTGGGAGGTGGCCTTGCTATGGCTGGGGTGGGATGGGATGAGCATTCAGGTCTCTCCCAACCATGGAAGCCATTCCATGGTTCTGGTGACTGTTCAGGGGTTTCATCCTGGTTACTGAGGGAAACTGGGAGCAGGCTCCAGTTTGTGGGAAAAGTTGGTGTCTTTTGATCCTGCTGAGATCAAACAGAGCCTGCAGTGCTGTCCAGGGGCCATCCCTGATCCTGCCTTTCCTTTCCCTCCAGCTCTGACCTCGTTGCCTTCATCAGGGACGTGCAGAGGAGGAATGGGAACACCATGGCCGGCCTGAGCCCGGATGAAATCTTCAGCCGGGTCACATCGTTCATCCTGGACCAGCAGCTCAAGGTACAGGGGCTGCAGCTGCTGCTCCTGCCCGTGGAAAATGGAGCAGCAGAGCCCCAAGGAACACAATTCCTTTCTGATCCCTGTCCAGGCACCAGCTCCAGCAGGCAGAGCCGTGCACTCCCTGGGCCCGGCAGCGCGGAGCCAGGATGTGCCTGCGGAAGGAATCGGCCCCCGGGCAGCGCCCACCCCTAAAAACTCCTCCAGTAAAAACCCCTCTCAGCCAAACCTGCAGCCCTGGAGAAATGCTGGAGCTGCACCCAAAGCCAAATGGAGAAAGAAGGATGATGCTGTAAGTTTTCTGCTCTTTCAGTGGAGTTGTTGCCACGTGCTTTGTACAAGACATAAAATAATCCTGGGGGAAAAAAAAAAAAGAATTGCCTCATTTATTTTATGTACAAAAGCTTCAATAGACTTGGTTAAAGTTAGTGACCTCGTTAATTGAGTAGAATGTGCTGGTTAATTGCTGCTGGTTTTTAAGTAACTGAGCATTCCTTTCCTGGCCAGGCCTCTGGTGAGGATCCCTGTGCCATCTGTCACGACGAGCTGAGCAGAGACTGCTGTGAGCTCGAGTGTGGCCATCACTTCCACAGAAAGGTGAGCTCTGCTCTTCTTCCTCATCTTCACCTCCTAAAAACAACCCCTCTGCCCTCCCCTTACCCTTCAGTGCTTGAACAACAGGGCACAATTTCCTTTTCCCCAAGCCTGACCCACAGCCAGCCTGTCAGAAAGCTTTAGGTATTTTTGAAGTTGATTGATCAGAGTGGATTTCAGATGATTCTTCAGAGCATGAATTTGGTTGGGATTGCTGGCAGCACGCTCAGGGAATGGGTTATCCCTCTAAACTCTGCATTTGCCTCCTGATTGTGGAAATTCATGAAGCAAAAAAGCCAGGATTATTTTGGAATAACTCCACATTTCTGTCTGTGACTTTTCCCCTTTTCCGTTTTTAATGCTGATTTATTCTCATAGAATAAGTTTGATTACAGCAGGAAAACAGTTCTCCATCCCCAAATTTCAGTGGTGTACAACTTACTGAAGATCTTCCCCTTTAGTGCCAGTAATTTCCAGCTTCCAGTTGGATTCCTCTTCCCAAATTTTGCCTCTCACCCTCTCCCTGTCCCCGCAGTGCATCCAAAGGTGGCTCAAGCAGCATTCCAGCACCTGCCCCATCTGCCGTGTCCACGCTCTGCTTCCCGAGGATTTCCCTGAGCTTCCTGCACGGAACAAGTACAGCTGATCCTGCTTTTACTCCTACACCTTTTAATTCAAAATGCAAAGGGGCTGCAGCACAACCATAGTGCTGGGGGACAGGACAGAACCCTGGGTTTATTGGGAAAAGCCTCAGGATTTCCAAGATTCAGGATTTCTCCTGGTTCCTGCCTAAAGGTGTGGAGCTCAGGGCTGGCAGCACACAAAACTGGTGGATTTTTGGCTAAGGGACACTGAGAGTATCCAATTATTTCATCTGAAAGGCTGGTGCATAAATTCCTGTGAAGAGGGAGCTTTTCCCTCAGATTTATCCCAATATCAAACTGACAAAAAGGATGGACCAAGAGGATTGGAAACCAAGACCTTCCCTTCCTCTGGCATAAACAATTCAGGATTCAAGCCTGTGTGTGTGGTCTTTGCAGCTCCTCTCTTTGTATAAATCCACAGCTGAGAATTCCAATTGTTTGAATGATGATTTTTAGTCACATTTTGAAGGAAGAATTTTAAATTATTCATATGGATCTTATTATTCTTTAATCTCAAAGTAGGGTTAAAATTTGAATTTTGCCCCTTGTTGAGGAGCTGGTCTGTTTAAATGGGAAGGATTTTTAAATGACATTTCCTCTGTATTTTGTGCAGGAATGATCACCACTAGCAGGAGAGGCAGAATTCCAACAGCTCAGGGAATTGTTCTCCTACTGTTTCCTGGGTCTGAAGTGGCCAGAGCACCTTCAACACTGACAAATTTGTCCCAGAAAAGCCAAAAGGTGGGAACCAGAGCCTGGGAATCACAAAGTGTAACTCCATTGTCTGAATCCAGGGAGCATCCCATGGATTTGGAGCTCTTGGCTAATTCCAAGGATCACTTGTTCCCCACACTGCTACATCTCCTCCAGATCAAGTTTTAAACTCCTCTCATTATTCAGTGTATTAATTACCAGTTGAATAAAAAATAAAATTACTGCTACAGCCAAACACGTTTTTGTGGAATATTTCTGCTCAGTGTGAGTTAGGGGTGAGTAAATACTATGTGCTGTAGAATTAAGGCCTAAAAATTCCAGCACTGGAATCCTTTCCAGCTTCCAGGATTTTTGGGAGGCTGCAGCTCTTCCCCAAATCCCCCAGTATCAGGAAAAAGTTTTAAGTTTCAGTAAATAGCATTTTCCTCCCCCTTCCCAGACACTGAAATGAGAATTTCAGCTTTTTCTTCCTAAAAGGCCAGGGCCCAAACTGGAATTACATTCTCCTGCTTGGCAGTGCAGCTGGATAAACCAAAGGAAATTCTTTTTCTGTTTTCTTAATTCTACCTTTTTAGGTGCTCATCTTTACACTTCCAATTTCCATGATACAGACTGAGCCTGCCTCTACCCCACATGGAAAATTGATGGAAAATCCACAAGTTGTGGCTGTTCCATTAAAACATCAAAGTCCACAACCTGTTTGAGTTGGGAAGGTTATTTCTTAGTGAATTATTTTTCATTTAAGTTGTACAAACACATTCATTTATTCCTCCAACACCAACTCCTGTTCTTAGTTTGACCAAAATTCCCTTGGTGTGATTTGAAATCACTCATTTCCCATCTACCTTGGGACTGATCCCACAGCAACACCTTCCAGAGTTGTAGCAGCATTTTTGAGACCTTCAGAACCCTTTTTCTCGTTCTGTCATAATTCCCATCCCCTCCCAGTACAGCTGTAATGGGATTTATGAGTTTTCAGGGGTCTTCAAAGGACTTTGGAACAAGTATTACAAAATTAAATCAAGAGAGGAACTTGCTACATCCTCCCACGAGCTGTAAGAAAGGTACAGAATGATTCCTTTAGGATTTGCCTGAGAAAAATTGGAGAAAATGTTGTTGAAGGCAGCAGGATTGGGAAATTCAGAGAGGCCAAGTCTTGGCAAGGTTAACAGGAAAGTGAAAGCACAAAAAGGGAGAAGGAAGTGAGGTGGCTCCTGCTGAAGTCAGGCATGGATAAAGTTCGACTTCCCCTCTGAGGAATTCCCAGTTAAATCCTTCCCTGTTGCTCCTGTGGGTGTTCACATCCTGCAGAGCTTCAGGGGAAAGTTCTCCGTGATGAGATGGTCGTCCTGCAGAAGGACCACGATGTTCACTTCAAACTCTGGGAAAAAGGGAAAAAAGAGACAGAATTCCATGGGAAGCTGAATCCTGGGAGAAATCCTACTTCAGTTCCACAGGAAAGCCAAATCCTGGCAGAAATCCTACTTCAATTCCACAGGAAAGCCAAATCCTGGGAGAAATCCTACTTCAATTCCACAGGAAAGCTGAATCCTGGCAGCAGGATAAGGTAGGAGCTCCTGAAATATTCCAGGCAGAACCTCACCCAGGCATCCCAACCCTTGGACCATTCCTAGAAAATCCTGTTTTGTTCTAATCTTTGGGATTCCTCTGGATTGTTTTATCACTGATAAATTATGGCAAACAATCCTCTGGAAAAGAGGATTCAGACATCAAAGAACAAAATGTTTTGGGAAAGAGACCGAGATGGTGTTTAAAGCATGGAATGGGAGAATTCCAGGACAGCTCCATTCCCTGTTTCCAGCATGTAACAGCCTCAGGAAATGGAATACTGGAATATTCACAGGTCTGCAAAGTGCAGAACAAAAGTTCCAAAGGGAAAATCTACTCTTTGTCCTTCAAAGCCAAGATCAGTATCAGATCAATAATCAATCCTAAACAGAGACAGAACAAAAAGCCAGGCAGAGTTAATAAATGAAGGGAAGCAGAAATCAAAATAAATTCAAATTCTCACTGCAAATTGCTAGTGAAGAGCTTAAAATGGCAAAAAAAAAATATTATTTTGGGGAAAATCACAGAGATTCTGTGATTTTCAGCAGATTCCAGCAGAATGAAAGGAAGAAATAAAAAGCAGCCAAGTGGATTCTTGCAGTACTTATTTAAACAAGTGAGGAAAATCCTGATTTTGTTAATAAAAATACTGGATTTTGACAACAATCACCAGAGAGGAGCACGTGGTGTGGGTAAGAGAAGTCAAACCCTGTCCAACCTTGCAGCTTCCAGGGCTTTTGGCAGGAGGATGGGAAAGAAAGAGGAGAAGTGAAAAGAGGGATTCTCACTGGTGAGGAAAAGAAGGAATTTTATTCTTGGACTATTCCTCAAGTGTTTAACCACGTGACCACTGCTCCTCCTGTCCCCTCATCATGGAATTTTATTGGGAGTAGCTTAGTGGCTGCACAGCTGTTTGGAAGTGTTGGAGGTGTTTGGGCTGTGATTTCTCAGGCTGGAATGCAGCAGGATTCGGGCTCAGGGAAGCAGAGCAATGTCCTGGGCTTTTCCTGCAGCGCCGGTGGATTTAATCCCCTCACCTGCCCATCTAAAGGAAATGACTGTCAGCAAAAAGCCTCCCCACTCACCCACTTTGAAGTTGGTTGTTTCCAGGGTGGGGCAGGTGAAGAGCCTGGGGAACACCATGTGGATGGGGATGGGGAGGCCCCTGCAGACGTCGCCGTCGGCGATCTGGATGTTCTGGATCTCCGTGGCGTCCCTGGCGTAGCCCTCAGCGCACCCTGGGCAAGGAGGGAGAGGAGGGAAATGGGGGGAGATGAGAGAAAGCAGCAGCCAAAACTTCCAACAGAGACACCCCAGGATCAGGGGGAAAAAAGCCCTGGCAAGTTTTCCCAGAGTAAAGGACGGCAGAGATAATTTAAATTAACATCGGGGCCCTTCCTGCGAAGTGCAAACCCTGCCTTGGTGCTCTGGCCTTTCTTTAGCGCTGTTCCCTGCTTCCCTGGGAAGGGATGGAGGGAATTCCTGCAGGCTGTTCCCTGCCCAGGGCTCACCACAGGTCTCCACACGCACGAGCTGCAGCTCGATGCTCTTGACGGCCGCCTCGGCGCTCTCCACCAGCAGCTCCCCCGTCAGCGGCTGCGTGATCACACAGTTGGTGGAGTTCAGGTGCCCTCTGATCAGGAATTTGGGAAGGGAGGCTCTCTGAAAAAGGTTGGAGGGAGGAGAAAAAGATGCCACTTCACACAATACACTTGATCAAACAAAAGAAAAGGTTAAAAAAAATGAAAGAAATCTGTCATTCAGTCCTTTTTTCTGTAGGGTTAATTGTATGATCTTTTAATTCAATTTTAAATAAATGCATTTTGCAGAAATTGACTGTAACTACAGTAATAATACCTGATGATCTCTCCATATCATACAATGTTACATTATCAGTAGATGTATAGAGAAGATAACATTTTTCAAAACATTCATGTATTGAGAATACTGAAACAAAGCAAAACTCTTAAATTTCTTGGGATGCATGACCATCATAATTTTTCATGTTATTTGTAAAAACAAAACCAGCAGATACCATTAGAAATACAACATCCAAATATATACCACCATACAATATTTATAAACTTTTTGATCTATTTTTGAAGGCATTTCATTCAATAGGGACTTCTTTTTAGAACTTACTAGTGACTACAACAATTTTCAGATTAACCAACAATGCAATTTAAAAAGCTTCTAATTTTTGAATTGCCCAATTAAAACTCTCTTTTCTCCCCTCTCTGATATGTCCAGCTTTCTGTTGTCTCTCTTGTTTTCCTCTTTTTCTTTTGTTGGTTGTTTCAGTTGTAGTAAAGAGCACACTAAGAATAAAAAAACCTTATGGAAAGTTATTAAAACAAGAAGGAAATTCCCCAAAAGCTCCTAAATTGAGAACTCAAGAGTTCAGAAATTCCTCATGTAGCTCAGATTTATTTCTTTCACTCTGTACCAGGATTTCTCCTACAATGTCCCTTTGACACGAGTCCTTCCTGATCCCATGGATGGATTTTTCCTGGGAAGATCTGACAGAACTTGGCTGTTAGGATTGATCCAGGAGCTGGAACTGTGTTGGGAAGGAGTGGGGACCCCTTCCACTGCCCCAGGCTGCTCCAAGCCCCAGTGCCCAGCCTTGGGCACTTCAGGGATGCAGGGGCAGCCACAGCTGCTCTGGGAATTCCATCCCCTGCCCATCCTCACAAGAACAATTCTTTCCCAATATCCCATCTAAACTTGCCCTCCTTGAGGCTTCCCAAAGCCACAGGGGGCTGTAGAAACAGACATAACCAAGGCTCAAAATGCACATTTTTAATGGCTCTTGGCTGTCCAGGGTACAGAAAGTTTTCCTTTGATCCACTCCCATCTTTCACTCAGGAAAGGGATAAAAATATTTAACCACTCCTGAGCAGAGTTCCACCTTCAACTGGTCACCACAGTGCAAGAGATGAGACAGAATCACTTGATTGCTTAGAAAAGTGAGAAAGAAAATGAAAAAATAAAACCAAGATAATCTGCCTGATAATCTACAAGGCAGAATTAAATCACTCCTCTGGTCTCACTCAGAAACACACAAACTTTACATTTGAAATAAAACAAGAAGAGAATCCTTTTACCTCTTTAACATTTTGCAGAGTTTCAGGAGTAATGGTGAAGTCCACAGGGCTCGGCAGCAGCTTCCCTTTCTGTGACTGCAGGGAATGGAAGGGTTAAACTGAAATCTCATCCTCAAAACACAGAAAATTAAAAAACCACAACAGCTGCCTGGAAGAGCAGGAATACCCTCCCCATCTGAAGCAGAGAGGGAAAAAAATTCAGTTTCCTATTTCTTTATGTACAAATAAATTCATTTTACGCGTCCCTTGGAATGTTTCATTATTAAATTTGAGGAGGGGACATTCTGAATGAACTTGTGTCCATTGCTTCAAATCTGCTTTCTAAATTCCTCTTCTGCACCAGCAAGGGGCTGATCTGGAACTCTGAGTGAGGATCTGCCCTCACTGCTCAAGAATTCCAAATAGCTGCTGCTGCCCAGCTGCAAGATGGAAGAGATTAGCAAAAGATTGGCTGCATTTTCCCAAAATGACAAATTCTGGCACAGAATAAGCTGAAGGGAAATGGTACATTGAGCACTGACAGTGAGAATTATATGTTCAGTAAAACCTCATTAATTCACCCTGACTGAGAGATCCATGATTTACTGACTGGTGAGCTCAGAAGTGCTGTAGTGGGAACAAGAAATAAACTCAGGAAAACTGCAGGAGATGTGATTTGTCACTCCTCTGACAAGTGTGGCTCACTTCTCAGTGTAATAACGAACCAATAAAATGTAGCATCAGATATTGCAGGAAATATTGAAATCTTACCAACAGGAAACTTGTTTGGAACACCAAACTAAATCTTTTAAAGAGGTACTTTAGAACTAAAATAACATTTCCACCACAAGTCCTGAGTGACATAAAGGATTTTGATATTTACTGTCCTGTTAAGAGTTCAAAGGAATGATAGAAGCAGGATGTTCCAGCAAGTTTTAGATGGAATAAAGGACATTTCATCAGCTCTGTCCTGTCCTCAGCTGCTCTGGACAGGCAGAGCTCAATCTCAACCAACCCCAAATCCCACACAGAAACTTCTGGAACAACCAGCAAAACGTTTTCTGGGAGTCCAACATCCTCCCATAATTATTAGGACTAGAAATAAGAATTAATTAGAAATTAGAAACAATATTTCCCTTGTTTCCCTTGCAGGAGTGGCCAAGCACTGGAATGAGCTGCTCAGGGAGGTGGTGGAGTCTCTGGAAGTGTTCAGGAGTCTGGATGTGGGACATGGTTTGGGATGAGGATGGGACTGGATTATCCTGGAGGTCTCTCCCACCCTGGAGATTCCATGATTTCCACTTGCTGCAGACCCAGCTGTGATACTTGTAAGGGCTCTAAATCAGAATTCCTCATCTGAAGAACAGAAATCAGGTATTTTCATCACCCAACTCCCATTTCTAGGACTGTGGGAGCCTGGAAGCTTTGGCTGAGAACTCCTGGGATAATTCAAAACAGGGTTTGGAAAAATGACATCGTATTTATGTGACCACCCCATTGTCTCAGAACTCAAAGGATGAATAAGAGAATAAACTCAGGGCACTGTAAAAACAGCTGAAAATCCAAGTCCCCTTTGTCCTTTGAAATTAAGAGAGGAATGGGTTTTTCTAATCAGAAGCAACAGCTCTTTGGGGTGGTTTTGTTTTGGGGCAGATTTCCTTTACTCCTGCATTTTGGATAAAGATCTCAGGCACAGGGTGAGATTTTGGGGTGTCCTGTGCAGGGCCAGGAGTTGAGTTTGATGATTTTTGAGGTCTCTTCCAACTCAGGATATTCTACACTTCTGTAATCTCTCATGTCACAACCACAATATCCATGGATTTGGGTTTTGTTGTTTTTTTCCCTTAAAGTGAAGTGGGGGGGGTGGGGGAAATCAATCAAAAAAAAAAATTGATTAATTGCAAAATGGGCAGAAATGACACTCACCAGGGAGTGGACAATGAATTCACAAGTCTTGGTCAGGTCCTTTGCCAGCAGCGAGCGCCTCATGTCACAGCGCAGGGTGTACTGGGGGGAATGGGGTGACACAGGGCAAAAAGAAGAGCTTTAATTCACATTTCTTCCCTCTTTCCCAACTTTTCACCTCCCTTCACCCTGTTTTGGTTAAGGGATTATCAGTGTGATGTATTCACAGCCCCTCTCATTTTGATTTTCTTGGATTGAATTCACAGTTGTTGGGGTATTTCATGGGGAATTTCAGCCACACAGCTGTGCTCAAAGCAGCACTAAAATCAGCAGCGAGGTGAATTTCCTTCCAATCTGCTCCCCTAAAATGGGAGCCATAAACCAGTAGATGAAAAATAGTGAGAATTTGGTTATTCCAGAAATTCTACATTTCAGCATCTCCAGCAAAGCCTCTCAGTGTCCTTGCAGGACAGGGAATTTTGGTGGGATGGGTTTTTTTTGTTTTGTTTGATTTTTAATTCCTCCCTCAGACCAGGGATTTGGGTTCCTCACTTCTGGTTCACAGTCACAACCCCCCAACAGTTGGTATTTCAGTATCAGAATAGAGACCTGAACCCACAATTAATCCCTAAATCAAGAGAGGCTCAATTAAACTGCCCAGAGGTTCAGGAAGAGTCTCTTAACCAGCACCTCAGTGTTACAATTCCCTCTTCAGGACAGCAGGACTCTCAAAGTTTGGCTGAAATTTAAATTATTAAATCTTAATGGTATTTTATCCAAGGAAAGCTACACAGATGAGAGAAGGAATGGCAAAATAAAACAAATATTCCTCATTAAAGTGCACCTCAAACTGATTGATCACAGCAAGTTATTTGGGATATGGCAAGCAACTCGACCAGTGCTGCACCATTTCTGACATCCCTACCACAAACAACAGCTGTTACATGAGGCAAGAAGCCAAAACTGAACAAATAAATGGAAAGGTTTTAAAAAACATCCAAACACAGACAAAAAAACACAGAATTTTTTTTCTTTAGTTACTTCTGATAGACTGCTGGAGGGTGATTTGGTTTTTTAAGTTGGTTTTTTTTTCATTCCAGTGACATAAACATTGTCTAACACAGAATTTACCTTCAAGAGATGGCTGAAGAAAGACTTTTCCCCCCCAAAAAAAAACATCAAAAATCACCCAAACAAATCAACCCACATATGATAAGGTAATTTTTAACCAAAAAAGATCAAATTTCCAAACTGTATTTCCACAGACTGTGTCCAAGCAGGTATTCCATACAGATCTGGGCAGGGAATGTTACTCCTCCTCACCCCAGCAAAGCAAACAATTCCTGATTTGTATTGCTCTCAACACTTGGAGTTTTCCTCATGAATAACACATTTATCTGGAATACAGCCACACTGTGGAGCTGTTTTTTTCAGGAAGGGAATGGAAACAGTCACCTACAACATCAGGGTGGATCAAATTCAGGTTACAGTCATTCTGCTGAGGTATTTCAGGTAAAACATCTTGTTTGTGCCATCATCCCTTAAAGGTTTACTGGATAAAGGGTGGAAGGCTCAGTCAGTGTGAAAAGAAAACACCACCAAACTTCATCCTCGATTTCAATGGATTAAGAGCTGCTTTAGAAGACAATGTGCAGATGAAACTTCTGATTTTCTCTCCAGACAGGACCTCCTCACCTGGATATTGACAAAGACTCCATGATATGTCTCATACAGAACTTTGTTGCCCTTCATTTGCAGCGGGAATTCGAAGGGAATTTCTGTCTTGCCACTGGGGAGCTTCCCTGGTTTCACCATTTCAATGGTGCTGTTGATAATCTGAATAGGCTGCAAGGATCAATATTAAACAGGTTTAGGTTGAGACAGAACCAACAAGATCTAAACTCTACCAGAATTCCTGGATTTCCAGAATCCCAGGGACCTCTTCAGAACACAGAGTGCTGGGATATTTTTTTTACAATGAAAAGAAACGTTAACATTTTGCTCAAGGAAACAATTTCTATTTTATGGTTTATATTAATGACCAAAGATATTCAGGGAGCTCACCAGGAGCAGCTCCAGCTTTGGGAAGTGGAGCTTCATTTCCTAAACTGTGACCCTTAACAGCAGCAGGAATGACCAAGGCTGTGCAGCTGAGCACTCAGCCATCCCCTCTGACCTCTGCAGTTTATTATTATTTCGGGGAAGTCGCTCACTGGAACGAGGGTTAACTGTGGTTTCACTGGGGAGGTGGCTTGGAGATGACACTTCTTTTCTCTCTGCAGTTTTACCATTATTGTCCCCAACTCCTGGGCTCCCAATACAAGAAAGAAGTGGAGCTGTTGGGTGAGTCCAGAGGAGGCCATGGATGTCAGCCTGGGAGAGCTGGAGCTGTCTAACCTGGAGAGGAGAAGCTCCAGGGAGAGCTCAGAGCCCCTTGCAGGGCCTGAAGGGGCCCCAGGAAAGCTGGAGAGAGACAATTGCCAAGGGCTGCAGGGCCAGGAGCCAGGGAATGGCTTCAGAGTAGGATTTGATGGAATCTTGGGCAGGAATTGTTCCCTGGCAGGGTGGGCAGGGGCTGGGATGGAATTGCCAGAGCAGCTGGGGCTGCCCCTGGATCCCTGGCAGTGCCCAAGGCCAGGCTGGACATTGGGAGCACCTGGGACAGTGGGAGGTGTCCCTGCCATGGCAGGGGTGGCACTGGAGGAGCTTTAAGGTCCCTTCCAACCCCAAACTTTCCATGATTCCCTAATTCAAGGCCATCCTAACTTAATCAAACCATTTTCCAAACGGAGCTGCCTCCAGACAGAGCCAGCCCTGCTCCCACCAGCACAGCCCTGTCCCTGGGGAGCCTGGGAGAAGTTGCTCTGCTGGGATCCAAACCTGGGGAGCAGCACAGAGCCCTTCCAGCAGCTCCACAGGTCCCAATCTCTCCAGAGGAATCTGGCAATTCTTGTCTCATGCCCAGGAACCTCCATGGCCTCCACAGGCAGACTGATCTGGCACAAAAGTCCAGTTGAACCCAGTCACTCCAACAAAAATAAAATAACATCACACAATTAATTATTTTTCTTTAAATCACAGCCCTTCAATGCATCATCCAGTAACCTTTTTATCTATTTATGGCAGTGCATTTCAGCCTGAAAGAAAATTCTCCCATCAGTGTGAGTCACTTCCCCAGAATGTCCTCATACATCCCTCCCTGGGGATATTGCAGAACCCTCTGGACACAGAGCACTCTGTGTCCTGTGCACTGGGATGGCCCTGCTGGAGCAGGGAGGTGGCACCAGTGACCCACTGTGGTCCCTTCCACCTTGACCCATCCTGGGATTCTGTGATCTCCAGATAAAGCTGAGCCTTTCCCTGCTTTCCATCATTTCCTCACCATGAGCAGCTCTGACCACCTGAGAGCCTTTAAAGAAAGGTTTCATTTGAGAAAAGAGAGGTTTTTGTGCCAAAAATGTTCACCTGTGCAGGTCTTACCTTGGCAGTGTTGCAGAAGGCCTCAAACACACCCACGTTTTTGGCACTAAGCTGCAGATTTACTGAGCCCTCCATGGTTAAGGAGATCCCTTGGTGCTGCACCGTGTCCTTACTGGTTATGACCACCACTCCAGAAAGAACTTCCTAATAGGAAAGAGGAAAACATTTGTTTAAATCCATTTTTTCATAGCTGTTATCTAAACAGTGTGGAAAAAAAATCCTGTTCCCAAAGAATGGTGTAGCCTTGTCAGGACAAACACCGATGAAGGAATTTAGGATAAGAGCTTTGCACTTCTGGATTTCCTTAAAAATATCAACCTGCTCTTGGATGAAGTATTAACCTGGGCTTCAAATTCTCCCCAAAGTTTCAAGATTTTCCTGCCCAGGAAGATGAAGAACCCTCTCACTGGGTCAGCTGGTAACAGCCAAGTTCTGCTCGATGTGCTGGAATTAACTGCCAGGAGGAATTGCTGTATGAAAATTGGGATGGGCAACCACGGGTGAGGGAAGAGAAGGAAAAGGGATGGCCAAGTTGAAGGTGAGATTCACCTGGGGAGTGGAGCAGAAGAGATTTAGAATTGAAAAATGAACAGAAAGAAACAGTTTCAAAGCGAATCTGAATGAAAGGCAGGAGCTGTGTGACTCCAGGGATGTTGTCACTGGTCCCATGAAAGATATGCTGTCCACAAAATATCTTTTGCACAGAAATGCTCCACCCCAAAGTGTTAACTCAGATTTTTTAACACTGAAAAACGGATGAACTGCATGACAGCAACACACAACTCCCTTCACACACTCCATGGTTTATCCTCCCCTTCTTCCACACTGCAGAATCTGCTTCAACCCTGAAATATTCCCAGCTGGAAAGGGCAGCAGGTGACTGAGAACTGGAGAATTCCCAGGGGACAAACCTCCTGTCCTGCTCCTTTTCCCAGGTTCACAGGCCCCAAGGCACAGCTCCCTCCAAGCACGGGACAACCGTGACCGCTCCCTCTGCGCTCCACCACTTTACACCGGGATCTAGACCGGGAATTTTGGCAGAATTTTGTCTTTCCTGGTGGTACAGGATGGCAAAAATGGGTCAGGGGGGTTGAGGAAGCAGGAAAACATCCCCATCCAACCGAGGCTGACATCCTGAGAGCCTGGGAAGAGGATGTGCAGCAAGTAGGAAATGCCGGAACAGGAGCACAAAGGGACAGCAAAGAAAAGCTGACCTAAATTCTGCTCTGCTCTGCTGAAGGGCCTTAATTAGCACGGGCAATTAGGTTATTGCTTTAAAAAATGAGTCCAGCTCAACTCCGAGAAGCAAGGACAATCCTGAACACGTGAACTGCTTTAACAAAGGAGAAGTTTCCTCTCACACAGCAACAACCCATTCCAGAGCTGCTGCCTACATGTGGGAAGGGTGCACAGCCTGGGAGCAGGAAAAGGAAGTTAAATATCAATTTATCTTCCAATTTTTCTGCAGAAATGAAAAAGAAACACCTCAAAATCCTGTCCCTGTGCTCAGGTGAGACCCCACCTGCAGAGCTGGGTCCAGCTCTGGAATTCCCAGCTGGAGCTGCTGAGAGAGCCCAGAGGAGGCTCCAGGATGAGCAGAGGGATGGAGCAGCTCTGCTGGCAGGAAAGGCTGGCCCAGCTGCCATTGTTCAGCCTGGCCAGGAGAAGCTTTGGGCTGAGCTCAGGGTGGCCTTGCAGGGCCTGAAGGAGCCCCAGGAAAGCTGCAGAGAGACAATTGCCAAGGGCTGCAGGGCCAGGAGCCAGGGAATGGCTGCCAGTGGCAGAGGGCAGGGCTGGATCTTGGGATCTTGGGCAGGAATTGTTCCCTGGCAGGGTGGGCAGGGGCTGGGATGGAATTGCCAGAGCAGCTGGGGCTGCCCCTGGATCCCTGGCAGTGCCCAAGGCCAGGCTGGACATTGGGAGCTCCTGGGACAGTGGGAGGTGTCCCTGCCATGGCAGGGCTGGGATGGGATTTAGGGTCCCTTCAAGATTCCTACTAAAATCTGCGTTGTACCCCTCGTGTACAGCTCTTCCATCATTGTGTTTTCATCCCAGACTTCCAGATTCCAGGCCTAGTTATTGAACTAAAATTACTAACCTTTCCACCTTGAGTTCAAGTGGAAGGTAAAAACAAAACTGACAGTTTGTCTGACCAGAAATATCCTAATTTCAGCATAAAAGAGAGGGAATATTCATTTCCATAAAAAAAAATAAAAAAAATCAATCTATTTAAAAGTGATATAAGGCAAGTCAAGTTCAGTCAAATTGAAAATTAACACAGCACTGAGAAACTGAAATAGATAAACAAAATCATTATATTTTATAATTTTATAATGCACAAAATGATGTGAAAGTGAGACATGGAGTATTTACCACTCTGGAACCATTCCTAAAGGGAATAATTCAGCTTTGTCAAAGCCATTCTCTAGATAATCTGACAATTGTGGGACAGATGCTGCACAAATCCAGTTTTCCAGGATTAAAATCATTCAATAAATGGAATTTCGGTGGATGGAAAGGATTTTTATGATACAAGTGCAAGAAAAATGAGAGACCTGCACATTGCTGCTGAGTAACTCAGGATTTCTAGGCAAACAGTGATAAAAATTAAAAATATTCCTTCCCTTCCAAGCTTCTGCAGAGCTGGGTCAGGGTCTTCCCCAGGTTCCCAGGAAAAGGGGAAGGACAAAAAGCACCGCTTCATCCCAAAGGAAATGCCCAAAATCCCGGAGCTGAGCATCCCTCGCCTACGGGAGGACACCGGGAAGCCGTGCCGGGATCGGGAAAGCTCCGGGAAAGGGCAGAGGGAAAGGGACACAAGAGCAGGGACACAGGGAAAGCTTGGAGACACCGCCACAGCACCGACAGGAGAGGGCGAACGACTCCCGAGGAATCCCCGCTCCAAGGCCATTCCCAGCGGGAAGGCCGGGCCAGGACACGGCCCCGGAGCCCACAGAGGAACCGCGGCCGGGCCGGGTCGCCACAGACCCCGAGTGTGCCCGAGAGACCCCGAGTGTCCCCGAGTGCGCCCGACAGACCCCGAGTGCCCCCGAGAGCCCCCGAGAGACCCCGAATGTGCCCGAGAGACCCCGAGTGTGCCCGAGAGACCCCGAGTGCCCCCGGCAGACCCCGAGTGTGCCCGAGAGATCCCGAGTGTGCCCGGCAAGCTCGGGGGATCCCAAAATATCTGGGCTCGGAAAGGACCCCTGGAGATGATCCAGTGCAAACCTCTGCCAAGGCAGGGTCACCTGGAGCAGGTGACACAGGTGGGTTTGGAATGGCTCCAGAGCAGGAGACGCCACTCCCTCCCGGAGCAGCTGCGCCGGGGCTCTGCCTCCTTTTCTCCGTGGGCAGCTCTGCTCCTGTGCAGGGGGAATTGCTGGGCTCAGCCCCTGCCCATGGCTCTGGTGCCATTGCTGGGCCTGGAGCAGAGCCTAGGCCTGCTCTGCCCCTCCTGCACCCAGGGACAGCCAGGGATGGACAGAGACACCCAGGGACAGCCAGGGATGGACAGGGACACCCAGGCACAGCCAGGGACACCC